ATGAGAGGGTGAGGTAGGATCGTGGTCATCTTCTTCGACGTAGCCATCGTTTTGCGAGCTCAGTGTGGTTGTCGCAAGGTCATCGGCGGGGAGCGGCGGGAACGGTTGCTTGGGCTCGATCGAGGTTATCACCGATGGGGGCTCTGAATTATTTCGCAAATATCTGGAGTTCTCATCTTCTTCATTATCGAGAAGTGTCATGCTCGCGAATGTCTGGTCACGATCAGACACAGCTCATACGTAAGGTCAAGAGGAGTAGTCGCGATTTTGGTTATGGGCAAGCCTCCATAAAGCATATACTGCCGTCATTCACCGCTTATAACCATATCGTTCATCAGCGCAAGTGGAATGGATGATTACATGTCAATCTCATGGAAATTCAGCCCTCGTTAAAAAGTTTCGACTTCTCATGCATGATAGTATGATATTCGGACTAGTAACTGATGATAATTTCTTCTCAGAAGGTTTCGCTTATGTGTATGATTTTCACCGTCACATTGGCTTGACTACTAGTGAATATATATAACACTCATAAGAGGGATTTCTCAAACATCAACATCGAAAATCCGTTCAAAATGATACTATCCTGGTACTTTAAGACTACTAGGGATTGTTCCCATTACCACACTTTAATACAGCCTTACTGAATTTGCACGCATACGGAAGGCTTGGTTGTACGTTGATGGTGCCGAATTCTTATCCCAAGAGGGACGCTTGAACCGCTGGTATACTAGTTGTAGGCTCCTATTACCGAGTTAAAAAATTTCCCATACTCCCTATACAGAAGATCATAAGCTTTGAAGACTGGCTCGAGTGCACATCATGATACGATGTATTGTAGTTATCGGTTCACAATCTAGATTCCCACATAGCCACTGACTTGTTGCTGCAACCTCGGGCAAGAATGTGGTAAATCACTGGGAAGGTGATATTAGTGCACATCATGATTGATTTCACTTTTGGAGACCACGGCCATGTTGACCTGCCTACGTAAGACCAGGCACTGGGGACTCAATCCGACCTAGACTGACTTTGCGCTTCTAGACCTTGACGGTGATGGTACTGCAGGGTCAACCAAGACACCCAGTGATGTTCGAGCAGACAGTACTACTGGCTAGAGTAGCCGTGCTATCCCACGAACAGATGCAGTGGAAGAACCCAATATTGAAAGGCGCGCTGGATAGGTTTGCTTTCAAAGCTGGGACACATAATAAGCTGACAGGCTCTTTGTGTCAGCCTCCCAAGACATTGCATTCTACAGATGGAGTACCGCTTACCACCCTCCGCAATCATTCAGTTGGGCTAATATAACTATATTGTGGCGCGTTGCCATCCTCGAAACGAGATCTGCAACGAATCATGGCCGGCGCTGGATACATACTGGCAAAATTTTAAAGGATGGATGAAAGCCAACTACTAGAATTACAGCGAGACCAACAAACACAGCAGAGAGGTTATCAAGACTGGGTAGTTGCTCCTAAACGTGAAGCGAAAATGGCGATAGGAGCAGCCGCAAAGTGGACTCTGATGTTTCACGCTGCCAATGACAGCTCCACGGTTGGCAGCCCTGAGAAATATTGATTTGATTAGACGCTGCCGCACCTCCTCAACTGCTTAGGTGAATGAGCACGAATAGCAGCCTGCTCATGCCGGTACTGGGTAATGAGATAGAGAATAAATAGAAAAGTAAGCCAGCCAGGCTCTGCCCCCTTTGTTGTGGTACAAAATATTGACAAATGCAATGATACTTGAGACCATGTGTAGTGACTGCAGCCCTGATAATCCAGTCGTCGACTATGGCCGGTTTCGATGCTTTAGCGGTTAGCTTTTGCGGTTAAGTGGAGTAGTCTTCTTGTTACCCGAACCTAGTGGGTGCGAAGGGGTAATAGTGTCAAATGAAGCTTTCAAGGTGCCTTTGACGTTGACTGCAAGATGATGTAACCACCATTATCGGTTTATGTTTCTAGTGACTTGGGTTTCAGTGCCAACTGCTCCTGTTTCGTAGATTGTTTTGCAGCCTCCTTACCTGTTTGATCTCATCTACGCTCAAGGAGGTTCTTGCCCACAGCTTTTGTCGAGACAGTCTTTCGAGGATGACCTATATGTCGATGGAGATATATCCCAAGGGCGCTAGTGGTGTACCCTTATTAAGCTGCCGAGATAGGCTTGTGGAGTATAGCAATGGGCTTCCCGGACTATTGGTATGGCAACTTGTTAAGATTTCAGCTAGGATCGCGCGGGGCCGTAGGCATATACTTATCGAGAAAGCAGCTTGTGGTCACCATATAGCCGACTACACACGGCTATCAGCTTAAGGCATCAAGCCACCAAAAGCTTAGCGTAGTTACTCCCAACCACACCTGGGCTCTGCTGTGCTGGCGCACGCAAGGGATACCTCCCCGAGACCGCGTGGAGAAAGACGGTTGGTGTGCCCTTGATGCTGTAACACCAGCGAATACCTCTATGTTGGGAACATTTTGTGAAACCACCCGAGAGAAAGTACGACGCGTAGGAGACCTGCAGAGTGCGCGTACAAGTTAGTCTGAAAGGCCAGACCTTCGTGTATGCACGAGATTCAAGGCGATCAAGACGCCGCATCTGTAATGATACATTCTTTTCTTATTGCTTTTGTGAAACAAAGCGCATCACCAACCAGTTCCTCTCCTAAGGGACGTCCCGTGTTGTAGCTTTCATGTCCTTAACGGGTCGATCTATCCCGTAAACGAACGTACATTCCGCGGCCATCGGAGGAATTCAGTGCAACTAGCGTCGAGAAAAATGTCGCAGCCTGGCAAGAAACAATATTACTTCGTATAGGTAGTACTGACAACCCGGGCTAGTTGCACCGGATTGAACCTACCTTGAAGTGTACTGGGGTTCTTCTTGTCCAATATGGTATAGATGAATAGCGCTGCAACAAATAGGTTTCTGTCGACAAATGTCTCGGGGTAATCGGCAGTCACACTAATAGTATATCGCTGTGCAAGTAGCTTAAACAAGGCATTGTGCGTGTCTGTATTCGTGGAGCTGCAGTCCTGAGTGTTGCCCTTTGTGTTGTGGTTGTTTGACAGAGTGAAGTCACCGGATCCCCGACGTGTGAAGGAACCTCCCCGATGCCCGTTTGGGATGGCGGGACCTCCAACCTCGCTCCCCCTTGTTTCCCTCCCTCAGTCATCTTACATCCCCTCATTCCTGACCATATCTACCTAAGGTGTCCCGCGAAACAGTGCTAATAACTGTGTTCCGTTATTCAACGGGGACAGAGCTGAGTATTGCCCCGTCAGGCCATGATCGACAGTGGACGATCGGAAGGACAGTACGGAGTAGTTGGAAGTTGGAACATCGCTGTCGGCTTTGATTTCCAGCCAAAGAAAATTGCTCCACGCCTCCCTGATCTGTGTAGGCATCCTGCGCCAGGCACTGCAGACAAACAGCAGCTAGCAGTGTGGGGAGACTATGCTCTTCTGGGGTTACAGGGCATGGCCTCTGTCGGTCAACCATGCGGCAGCAAACCCAATCTAATTGCACGGTGAACCAGACTTTGAACACGGCATCTGTGCATTAGCCAGTCAGTGCAGAACTTGACATCTGACAGTAGGACGGCTCAACTGACGTCGGTCTCATGCAGTGGGACTGGAAATGATTTGGCATACGCCGGGGCTAACACCTCAATAGCATCGGGACTACGACTGATATGGTGTTGGGACTTGGGAGGGGAAGATCTGGTCATGCAGATGGCACTAAGATGATCCATGGTTAGCAAGTTTTAGGGCGCTCGGCGGATTCCCGGGAGCTGTCTCGGTCTTTTGCCCACAAGCTGTCCTCCGGATGCGATGGAACAGGATAAGTTGGGTCTCCTCCCAAATGGAAGTGGCTTTTACTGTTTAGATACTTGATATAGAAAACTACTGCATGTCTCAGTGCAACTTCAACGTGGTACTCTGCTGTACGGCCGAAACCTTTGGTTCAAAGGAGCCTAGACATCCCTTGCGGAGGCTTGAGGGCCAGACGGAGCTGTGATATCGCTGATCGGCGGGACCCATCCTCTATTGGATAGCCTGCCCTCAAGCCTATGGGACTAGTGAAGATTAGCGACTGTGGTAGCCTTCCTGCAGCCGATCTCATGCGCGTTCCGCAAAAGGGGGTGTTTGCAAATTATCATTGGGCCTCGACTTGCACTTTTGGGTTGTCCAGTGTCCATGCCTCCATGGGTCCCGACGAACTCTTGATCTGGTTCGCAAGTAAAATTTCTCGACCCCTGGCTTCCGGTTGACATGCTGTGTGTAACTGCTCCATAACCCAGATTGATTGCGTCCGCGTTCCAGCGCCCACGCACCGTGCCCGACGGCAAGTGGATCAAAACCTACAGTCGGTCAGTCGCTTAATTGTCAAGTGCCCGGAATTACAATTTAGTACTTCTGTACGGTGGTCCTCGCCGAGGGCAGGGCGCATAAGCGAACCATGATTGGTGATGGCTGATTAAAATCCACGATAAACACTCGCACATTCCAAACAATTGGATTTCTTGGTCGTCCAATGATAGCCCTGTCAGACAGCACTAGCGCATGCTTCAGCTTGTCGGGGCCAGTAGTAGTTTTCACTTGACACCTTTGAGTGACAGGTCCGACAGGTTTCTTGCTCGTGATTCACACACCATGGAATCCGCGACTGTGTGGAGGCAGGGGCCTATTCCCAGAATAAACAAGACCTGTACGGAGTAGGGCTAGCTATATTACTTATCTACGCCGCCGCCCTTAATCGGACGCCCTTGCCTGCTTTCCACTAAGAGTGGCCAGACGAAGGCCGTCTGAGTTCACAGACAACCACCATGGCCTACCAACGAGCTCTCAAGGTCCTATTTACACGGGATATCCTCGTATGTAGCAAACTGAATCCTCTTTACCTTCCAAGATGTTAACACTAGGCCGTTCCAGAATCCCGACAATGACCCTAATATCGGTTCATCACGGGGAAATGCGTCCTCGACGACATCCGATGCGATGTCGGATCTTGGCCTTGGAGGGGATTCGACTTCCCTTTCAGCATTCTTGACCACACTGATACCAGCGTTGGTGATCGCTGCGTTTTGGTTCGGTCTCTTCTTAATCTGCCGGCGAACCCAGCTGCGATGGTACGCACCGAGGACTCACCTGCCATGTTGGCACCAGCAGTACGTTTCTCGTTGTCTGTTCCCTATTTCACTAGAATCTGTCGCTAAGATGCGCATAGTGAGCGTGCCCCACGTTTACCTTCGGGGTTTATCAATTGGTTCGGCCAATTCCTGAAGATCTCCGATGCCCAGGTCCTCCGACATTCCTCCATGGACGGGTATCTTTTTCTCCGATTCTTACGCGTGCTCTCTGCCACATGCTTTACTGGTTGCGTTATAACCTGGCCAATTCTGCTTCCAATTAATGCCACGGGTGGCGCAGGGAATACCCAACTGGACGCCCTAAGTTTCAGTAATGTGACCAACTCGCAGCGTTACTATGCACACACAATTATAGCGATTGTCTATTTCAGTGAGAGATCCCTCCAGTATAACGGATGAGCGCCACGGACTAATGTTTTGTGTTGAAGCCTTTGTTTTCTTTGTGGTCACTCGTGAGAGTATCTTCTATGCGAACCTACGCCAAGCATACTTCAACTCCCCGGCCTACGCGGAGCGTATCTCTTCGAGGACTGTCTTATTCATGTCAGTACCGGAGGAGTATAAGAACGAGAAGACACTGCGCCAGGTTTTTGGAAACAATATTAACCGAATCTGGATCACGTCCGAGTGTAAAACCTTGGACAAGAAGGTCATGGAGAGAGCAAAGCTAGCCTACAAACTGGAACATGCTGAAACAAAGTTGATTCGAGCAGCAAATTCAGCGCGGCTGAAAGCCATCAAGAAGGGGGTCGCCCTCTCGAAGCCATGCCTGGATTCAGATAGCTGCGAAGAGTGCCAATCGAACACTTCCACAACATATCATGGGATCAAAAGACCTACTCATCGTGTTAAGATGTTCGGCAAAAAGGTCGATACAATCCGCTGGTTACGCGCTGAGTTGACGAAGGTCATCGAGGAAATCTCTATCCTCCAGAAAAAGCACCGCAATGGAGAAATGAAGAATCTTTCTGCCGTTTTCATCGAATTTGCCACTCAAAAGGATGCGCAAGTTGCTCTACAGACCGTATCCCATCATCAGCCACTTCACATGACGCCTCGTTTCATTGGTATTTCGCCAAACGAGGTCGTTTGGTCAGCTTTGAACTTGAGCTGGTGGCAGCGGATCGCGCGCCGGTTTGCGGTTCAGGGTGGCCTTGCTGCCCTCGTTATTTTCTGGTCTATCCCATCTGCCATGGTCGGAACGATCTCGAACATCACTTATCTCACTAGCATGATCCCATTTCTAGGCTTCATCAACAAGCTTCCGTCGGTCATCTTAGGTCTTATCTCTGGTCTACTACCTTCCGCTGCGCTCGCTTTGTTGATGTCTCTGGTTCCAATCATTTGTCGAGGTACGATTTCCCCACTTGTTCGTGACCTGCAGCTTCTAACCATTACACAGCCTGCGCCAGAGTCTCTGGTGTGCCGTCGACGTCGCGCGTGGAACTCTTTACCCAGAGTGCACACTTCTGTTTCCAAGTAGTGCAAGTCTTCCTTGTCACTACGTTGACTTCGGCGGCATCGGCTGCGACTGCTCAGATCATCAAGGACCCTCTATCGGCCAAGGATCTTCTGGCCGAGAACCTACCAAAAGCGACCAATTTCTATATCTCCTATTTTCTTCTTCAGGGCCTGACTATGAGCTCCATGGCGGTCGTACAGGTTGCAGGGGCTGTCGTCTTCAAATTCATCACAACGTTCTTCGACCGTACCCCTCGACGACTATACCAGAGATGGGCTGCCCTGAGTGGTGTAGGATGGGGAAATGTGTTCCCTGTTTTCACAAACATGGGTGTGATTGGTACGTTCAATTTTGCCTTTTCAGGCTTTTTCTGAGTCTAACATGATCTTCGCAGCAATTACCTACTCGTGCATTGCTCCGTTAATTTTAGGATTCGCCTTTGTCGGACTCTACCTTGTGTACCAAGCATATCGGTACAACTTCTTATTCGTTTACGAACTCCGCATCGACACCAGAGGCCTCGTGTATCCGCGCGCACTGCAACACCTCTTGACTGGTATCTACCTCGCAGATATCTGTCTAATCGGTCTCTTTGCCATCAAAGGAGCCATCGGACCACTCATCATCATGGCCCTGTTTCTCATAGTGACCATCCTAGCCCATATATCCCTCAACGATGCGCTGGAGCCGCTGTACTCTTTCCTTCCAGCCAACCTGGATGTTGAAGAAGAGTCGCAGCTATCCAAAGCGGAAGCAGATGCCCTGAACCCCCGCTCAGTGGGCAAATGGGAAGCGGCCTGGAAATGGTTCCACCCCAATTTGTATCGCGACTACGCCGCACTGCGCGGAAAAGTTCCCCGCGACCATGTGGAGATCCGATACACAGAGGAGGAAAGAAACAAGGCCTACTATGAGCCGTGCATTACCGCACGAACCCCGACTCTTTGGATCCCACGGGATAAATGGGGATTCAGCCAACAGGAAGTGCTCGATACGGACCCGTGCATTCCTATCACAGACGAGGGGGCTCACCTGAACGAAAAGAACCGAATTGTCTGGGACAAGTATGATCCTAAGCTGCCGCTGTGGGAACTGAAGATTCTTTATTAGCCTGCTCTGCCTTACGATTAACGATTTAATGCTGGATTGACTTGGCCACAAGATTGTGACATTTACCTATCTGCCTACCTATCTATCTATCAACTGAATAATATTAATCAATGGATCCAATCAACTATCTATTCTGTACTATGCTCCTGCAATCCATGGTAAGCAAAATCCCACGTCAACCGCTATCATATGCATCCGGGATTCATCTTTCTTTCCCCGGCCCCCAAACTCTAATTCTAAACAATGCTCCACCCCGGCCAAAGTCTATAGTATTTCCCCATCCCTTGCAGGATCTTGGATCTTTCGCCGAGACAAGATTGATTGCCTTCGAATCTACGGAGTAGAATAGACCGAATTAAAAGTGGGCATGATCCAGATTGGGGTCCCACTGCCGTTGCTAAGCGGATATCAGTCTTCTATATTTAGTGAATAACATAAGTACCATACTGTCTTCTGCTCTGGCGTCTACTGGTAGGCAACTGTACGGAATACATACGTAATAACTTTATGGTGGGTTGAGTAGGAAGCTTTTAACTATGTGTGGATCTATACATATCACATTCTGATAGTAGGGTTTCTGTTGACGAGGCATTTGCAATGAGCTAGTACTAGAGGTTTATAAACATTTAATCTTGGAACAAACCGAGGATATGAGGGATTTACGGGCTTTGATATGGAAATTGAATATTCAATTTACATAGGCCGAAATATAAGTTTGAATTCCCTATGTCCTGTATGGAAACGCTATGTATTATTCATAAAGATAAATACCATTTGCTCAGATATATATCTACCGGAATAAAAAGACACCCAATACCAGATAAATCCCTATGGCCATAGTGGCCTCATATCGCGCTCGTGAATGATTGTGGTCGTAGTAGGGCATGATAGACATTAAACCCCGCCTGGTTGCAAGGCGGTTACATAAAATACATAAAGTCATGTACATCGTTGGGGACCCGAAAGTACGGGCAGACTGTCTAGTCTTGCAATGCAAGCTCACATCACGATGCAGTCTTTGGGTCGGTCTCTTGTGCGTTCCGAGGGTCCGGTGGTGAGAGGCACACCCGGAGGTCGTCTCCCCTGTTGGGTTCTTTGGTACGGAGACGCATTAGATGAGTCTGTGAAGTTGGGGCTCCGCTGGGGCGACGGGTATACTGGACTTCTCGCTGCCTGCTCATATGAAGGCGGGGGGACGTCGTCGTCATCCGTCGGCCGGATGGTTGGTATGTTGGACTGGGAGTACCGGGCAGGACGCTGACTTTGCCTTGAGGAGCGGTTTCCAGATGCAACTGTGGCGTATGAAGCACTGCTGGGGTTTACAGCGCTTGATGAACGGTTGCGAGTGTATGCTGCCCCGGGTGCTAGCCCCGATGATGGGGGGTGGGAGACTGAAGCTCGCTGGGAAGGGTTTCTGTTGGTCGAATCTCTATTGGTCGTGGCATTGGCTCGTTGCTCTTCTTCCTGGTACTGGAGAGCGAGCGCGTAGGCGTAGTCTGCATCGGCCTGTTCCTGGGGAGTCATGGTGCTGCTACGCTGTTCATGTGGCTCGGGAGCAAGGCCGGTATTGCTCGATGTTCTTGGGCCCGATGGGTCAGAAGGGGGAGGAGCGTCATGGCTGACAGGGCGAAAGTCTCCGGAAAAGAAACCAGCTTCTGAACCATTGACGTCGACAAGACTCTCCCATACAACCTCAGCGTGGCTGGAATAACCAGCATCGGTAACTAGCGTAAAGAGCTGATCGAGTCGGGGATGTTTGTACAGCGTCGAGAAATGATCGTTGCGGAATAGGATCGAGAATGATCCGGGCTGCAATGTCGTCGCTAGATGATTCAAGCCGAAAGTGCTCAGTTGAGTCGCGTTCTCGAACTCCGTGAACTTTTGAATGGTCTGGATATCACTCATGACGAGTTCTTCCTCCGGTGTCAATGCGTTGCCTCGCATAACGCGGTCTTCCAGATCTTGCTTCCGGAAAGGAAGCAACTGAATATCTTCGTGATACTGACCCACGCGGGCCAATGCTGCATCAGCCTCTGTTGACGGGGCTGCAAGCCATCCGTGAACTAAGGGGACTCCGAATGTTCCATAGAAACGGATATCTTCGGTTTCAAGGAAAGTACCCAGCGCATCATTAGATTCCTGCTCTGGTCAGTTGCTGCGTCCATTAACATGTGTACGAATTACTCACCAAAGTGAGTTGCGGATTGACATTCATGCCGGTATGCAGCATAGTCAGAAACCGACTGAGAGCTTCGATATCAGGAAACTCGTCATCGGGCCCCAGCCGTGTGGTCAATTCATCAAAGAGTGCCTCAATCAGCAACCCTAACGAGATTTGTTCGCGAGTCTGCAAAGCTCTCACAATCGGCGGCTGTGAGTCGTGGATTGTAGAGCGTAGCACAAGAGCATTGACCAGTGCCAGAAGAGGACACGGTCCATTTTTATTCTGTACCAGGATAGGCGACTCGCGTAACTTGCCGGTGCTATCAGCCCAGTTGACGTGTCTGATCGAGTAGGTCTCCGACCGCTGTTCTTGCTGTCGCTTCGCTTCGGCTTCTGACATTGGTCCACTGAATGCTGAATGAGTATAGACGGCACCAGGGCCTTTCGAGCCATCGGGCAAGGGGGGAGCGTCGCCAGGCTTCTCTCGCAAGATTTCTTCCTGTGGACCCTCTGGCGAGTTAAGATTGTAGCCTTGAGGCGCTTTGGTAGGGGCATCTGTTTTGGGTGGCGGAATAGGGGCTTCATCCAGTTCAATCAAGACGTGAGACGAGCCGGTGGTATTGCTGGATATAGTCGCCGGAGTACTCATACTCCTCGCCGGGGATTCCCTGCCCTCGTCATGTAACTGTGGGGTTGGCTGGAGATACGTTTGTTGACTAGTATACGGTGCACCTGGCACATTCGTTGTTCCATAATGTATGCCAGTTTCTTGGCCAGCATATAATTGACTCTGGTCGTGGTATCCGTACGGTTGCGAAGACGCGGGGGGTTGCATCGCAGTGGACTCTTCACCAACCCAGGGAGTCTCTTCCTCGGGCTGATCAAAGAGCGATAAGCGCGCTGTCATCGGGATGTATCCCTCGTCTAAGTGGGTCAGCCTAGGCTGCTAGATCAACGACAGTTGGACAGTGCATACCTTGTCCGAGGTGTCCACTAGCACCGTCGTGAAATTGGGACGACTCCCCATATGAGGTGTGAGAATTGCGATCTTGCCATGGATTTGGTTCCGGCGACCTCGGTTTCAGAAAAGGGTTGTTCGACTGTAGCTGCACCGGTGATTGACCCGTGTACTCCCTGTCGGGTCGCCATTCCGCAGCACCTCTCTCTTGAACACCAGGAAAAGAGGTAGATGGAACTTGGTCTGATGCGTTTCCGTTCACCATCCCCATACCCTGTGAAGGACTACTAGCTATTTGCCGAGGAGATGCCACCGAATCCTGGTGATCCAAACCGAACCGCGCTGTGAGCTCGTCCGCCCACGGATTCGACCCGTCCCCGGCCGAATTCCGGATTGGCGACCTCTGCGCCTGTTCCAACGGCATGAGGTCAAAGGCTGGTGAGGTATTGAGATCGGGAGAAAAGACCGATTCCTGAGAAACAACCCGATGAGGTTGAGGAGAGCTTTGAGCCCGTCGCGGGCGAGTCAGGCGTTTTGGCGACGAGGATGAGAGGGATTTGGAAGTCGGGGAGAGTTTGGAGTTGGTGAAGCGGGATCCAGTACGGTCATTCCCTTGAGGAAGGCTGTTGAGGCGTGGCGGAGCTCGTTTTCGCAAGACCATGAGGCGAACTCTTAGTGTACGAGGCCCGGGGTTGCCGAGCTCACGGGGGGGATTACAAGAGGGTTGGACAAGCTTGGGGGCCAATAAAATGCGGTCAAGGAGCCAGTCAGAAGAGTTAGATCGGCAGGCTCCCTCTGATGACAGGTGAGATTGCCTAGTTCGACAGTCTGACGCACGAATGGGCGCCAAAGTGTCGTAGACGTGGTTGGGAGCTCTCGGGGATGTATACGTAACCAGGCAGTGGCTCCGAAAGGGACGATGAGATCAAGATTAGCCAGTATACGCGAGAAACAAAACAACAGCCTCAGCCATGCCTTTTGCAGGGAGGGGATGGTCGATCCTAGGCAGCAAGAAGAAGATGCAAAGCAAAAATTGAGGGAAGAAAGGCACGCGAAGTCAACAACAATGGCGGGAATGACCGTTGAGGGTCACAGGCACCCGGATTCCCTGGCGGAATGAATGAATGGATGCGATCGATGCTCGGGATTGGCGGTGGACCCCTGCCTGTTTTCCCGTTACCGCTGTTACCGCTGTTTGGTGCGGGGATTCGCAATGTGGCTGCCTGCTATTACTGTCTCGTATGGTCACGTCCCCGCTGGCACCGCCACACTCTCCGCGTATTGCGCACCGCCACTTGAAAATGACGTATTACCGCGGAAGAGAGGAAGAACAGATGATCCGCTGCTATACTCATTACATAAGCCGTGCATTATCGCAAGTGATAGAGGGTCCGTGCGCTATCGCAGAAAAAAGTAACGGAAGTCCATCGGAAACAAAAGCTGCTACGTTGGCGGGGTTATTGGCTCTGGTCGCTTGAATTGATCTTTTTGTTCTTTGCGTATAATGCGCTGATCCTTATCCCGTCACATATACGTTCTAAAACCTCCCACATCATGCATTCCTACGTGCGACCAAATCAATTCGTCGCCTTCAAGCTCCCCTCCGAGGCGACGAGGATCCAGAAAGTCGTTCCCAATACGTATGCGCGCAAATGCTCCAATTTCTCAGGAATCGCACAGTGCTAATTATATTTTACAGACAAATTTCTCTAGGCAAATACGGCGCTTTCCCCGCCAACCAGATCATTGGCCGCCCCTTCTATCTGACCTTCGAGATCCACGAAACCCCCGGACAAGCTGATAGCACCTACCTCCGCATCGTATCGGCGGCGGAACTCCACGCGGAATCCCTCATCACCGAGGGCGAAGGCGACGGCGATGATGTGGAGGTCAATGAAGACGGCACCCCGGTGCGGTCGAATCGCGAAACCATCGACGACCGATCTACGCAAAAGTTAACGCTAGAGGAGATTCTGGCGCTGAAGAAGGAAAGCACCGGCGCGGGAAGGGAAATTATTGCGAAGCTGCTCGAGTCGCATCAGGCCTTGGATCAGAAGACGGCATTCTCACTGGCCAAGTATAAGCTGCGGAAGGAGAAGAAGTACATGAAGCGGTTCACAGTGATTCCGTTGGATGTCAGTCTCTTGACGAACTACATGCTTGAGGACAAGGATGCAGCTCGGACTATGGAATTGCGCGACGAGCTCATCGGGCTGATTGGGTGTTGGGGAAATGTACACCATGGTGGAAGCACCTCTTTTGACGAGACTGTTACGTCGAAACCGAATGGTCGCTATCTGGTTGTTGATGATACAGGCGGTCTGGTCGTCGCAGCTTTGGCTGAGAGAATGGGAATTCTGTACCCTCATGATGGCGAGAACGATCAGGAGCAACAGGACGCCATTGAGCGACCTGCCGCGGCGGAAGCTGATGAGGCAGAGAAGCCCCAAGACGGCGAAGAGAAAGCCCAGGATGGAGAGGAGCAATCCACGACGACCACACATCGCCCACCCCGTCGGCCACAGATGTCCGCTTCAGGAAACACTATCACCCTTCTCCACGCCAACAAGCAGCCTAACCTAAGTCTCTTGAAATACTTTGGCTACGAACAAGACAGCCCGAGCGACACACATCCCCTCTACACAAACCTCAAGACCGTCTCTTTCATGCAGCTGCTCGACCCCATGGCGGACAACATCTACTCCGAGGAGCCGTCAGTAGTACCCGAAGAAGAGCTTGCTACATACAAGGCCAGCAAGCGTAGCGCCTACCACCGCAAGCGCGGGCGTTGGATGCGCGTCCGCAAGGTAGTCGACGAAGCTCGGGCGGGCGGCTTCGATGGTCTCATTATCGCCTCTCTAATGAGCCCGACGAGTATCCTGAAATATACTGTCCCATTGGTGGGAGGCTCGGCACCGATTACTATCTACTCACCCACCGTTGAACCGTTGACAGAGGTAATGGACTTGTATTCGACAGCGCGCAAGAACGCCTACATCGCTCGGAAGCGTGAGCTACAAGAACAGCAACAGGCTGAGGGCCAGGATGAGTCTGGCAAGATGCGCCCTGCACTGGAAGAGGAATTCACAGTCGACCCTACCATGTTGCTTGCGCCGACACTGCAGACCTCCCGAGTACGTGTCTGGCAGGTCCTTCCTGGGCGGACACATCCGTTGATGTCGGGACGTGGTGGTGCAGAAGGGTACATCTTCCATGGCATCCGGGTCATCCCGACGCAGGAGATCATTGAGGCAGCTGGAAATCCAGGCCGGAAGAGGAGGAAGGTGACCAAGGAGACAGAGACACCGACGCAGACGCAAACTCCGACGGAGACGCAGACAGGCAGCGGGGATGTGGAGATGACGTCGTGACCTATCTCAGTTCAGATTCTATATTATTACCTTACCTGTAAGATAGCCGGGAATGGGCTGAAAGAATATACCATGTGAACATCACTACATGAAATAAAGAGCCCCGTCGAAGTGATAAGAGGGAGCCATCTGCCCGACAGCTCCAGGATATTCGTCACCGACACCATCGGAAATGATACCAACCAAACACAAAGCAATTGGATCAAAACGCTTAAAGTTGAAATATACACAGAGTAAAAGTGACTAGACACGGACAACAACTAAAGGTCCAGTTTCGAGTTTGTTCATACGCTGAGTTGTGGCAGCAGACAAAAGCACATCCATCTATCTATCAATCAATCAATCAATCAATCATCCTAGAAGCTCTTTCCCATGAACTTTCTCTTGGCGAAACTAAGCCACCACTACACCCTAATTAGCCTCCCATCTGTAATTGCAGGGTAGAAAGAAAGAAATACATACCTTCGAAGGCCCTTCACCACCGGGGTATAATCTAGCATGCAACCGAACCGCGATCTCCTGCCTAACTTGCGAAAGGTACCTATTACAGCCAAATCAGCACTCTCCAACACAGACCTCAGTCGAAGAGGGCCGAAAAAGAATAAACGTACTGTCTCAACGTCTCCGCATCCTGACGATCGCGGGGCGCCTCAAACGCCTGGTTCAAAGGGAAGGACACGTCACCGGGAATAGCGAAGTGGTCGAGCGCAACGTTGATCAATGCCTGCAACAGTACCCATTAGCACGCTCACCTCATTAAGCAACACCTAACATCGAACAGCCACCACCAACCCCTCACAACTCAGCACGACAAGGGCAAGCAAAGCATACCTTCTCAGCCTCCCGCATAGCCATACCGGGCTTAACCTTCCCCAAGCACTCGCTGATGAACAAGGTACCGTAGATGAGCATGCGATCGGCGGGGCCATTGATTTCGAAGTTACGGAAGAGGACATTGGCGCGGAAGAGGGAGAGGATCTCGTCGACGCAGTCGTAGGATTCGCTGTCGGCGGGCACATCGGTGGTGTCGGCGGTGGGCGGGAGCGGGGGGAGGGTGTATGCGGGGCCGCGGGTGCGTGTGCGGAGGGGGAGGATGGGGAAGTTTCCTATCAATGGATATTAGTTGGACTGCTGATACGGAGGTGGGCTGGAGTGTATGGTGGAGGTAGCTCTCGATGTATGGGGTGTAGCTAGGTAAGTGTATGGCGGGGAGAGTGCGGCGTACCTATTACGGGGACATCCCGATCCTCGAGGAAGATGGAGTGGTATGCCTAGAATGGGATTAGTCAATTTGTCTGGAGAGTTTCATGGAGAGGAAGATAGAAAATGGGATAGTACCGGCATTGCGAGCTGCAGGAAAATGTAGTGCGGGTTATCCTTAGAGCCGGTCTAAGGAGGGGATAGGTAGATACAATAGGAGAGGGACGGAGGTGGATGGAGGCGCATGTCATCACCCGTGCAGGTCGACTTGAGCTGCCGCTGCCTGGGCGGGGAGATTTTCCGGTCCGAACCTCTTTACGCGCTACGCGTCTCTCGTGTATTTTGGATAGCTACAATCACTTTACTTTTCTTCGTTCAACATATTTCATAACGAGGCAAGCCTTTATATCAGTGACTCGGCATACTGCTCCTCCAATATCAACATCATGTCCGACTACGAGGACTCAATGGACGTGGACGTCCCCTCCAAGAGCGCAATTCAATTCAGCTCCGACAACACAAGTGGAAAGGCAAAGCGAGTAGCAGCAGATTTGCCCGTTGAAGCTCAAGATAACCTGCCTTGGTACATCCCCTATGTTTACAAAGCCTTGCGACATTTTCTAACCATCAAAATACAGGGTAGAGAAATACCGCCCCAACACCCTAGAAGATGTATCCGGCCACCAAGACATCCTCGCAACAATCAACAAATTCGTCGAAGCAAACGTACGTCTCTCCTCTCATTCCCTCAATGATATGCTTAAGCTAACAGCGTTTATCAACTTAACAGCGCCTCCCCCACCTCCTCCTCTACGGCCCCCCAGGAACGGGCAAAACATCCACCATCCTCGCCCTAGCCCGCCGAATCTACGGCGCAAAGAACATGCGCCAAATGGTACTGGAACTAAACGCTAGTGACGATCGCGGTATCGACGTCGTTCGAGAACAAATCAAGACCTTTGCCAGCACAAAACAGATTTTCTCCATGGCACCCTCATCCACCTCCACCTCCTCCTCGACCCTCGCCTCCTACAAACTCATCATTCTCGACGAAGCCGACGCCATGACCGCAACGGCCCAAATGGCTCTCCGTCGCATCATGGAGAAATACACAGCCAACACGCGGTTCTGCATAATCGCCAACTACACACACAAGCTCTCTCCGGCACTCTTGTCCCGATGTACACGATTCCGGTTCAGCCCGCTGAAAGAGGCAGATATCCGGGTATTAGTGGACATAGTGATTGAGAAGGAACAAGTGAATATCCAGCCGGAGGCGGTGGATAGTCTGGTGCGGTTGAGTAAGGGAGATATGCGACGGGCGTTGAATGTGCTGCAGGCTTGTTTTGCGAGTAGTATACCGTTGCCGATGAAGAATGCCCCGAAAGATCAGGAAGCTAAGGAGAAGCCGGAGGCGGAGGTTATCACGAACGAGACGATATATGATTGCATTGCTGCGCCTCATCCGTCGGATATCGAGGAGATTATGACGACGTTGTTGGCGACGAGTGATGTTACTTCGTGTTTGAGTACGATTAATACGCTCAAGGCGAATAAGGGGTTGGCCTTGGCGGATATTCTTGCTGCGCTTGGGGATCAGTTGCAGAGGCTGGAGGTGCCGGCGCAGACGAGAGTGACGTGGTTGGAAGGGTTGGCGGAGATTGAGTGGCGGTTGGCCGGGGGAGGATCGGAGTCGATGCAGACGGGAGGGTTGGTGGGTGTTGTGAGGAATGGGTGTGAGTTGATGGGGAAATAGATGCCCTTGATGCGCAGAGGGTTCGGATGTGATGATATCGTACACAGTATTATCAGTATACCAGACATGCATGCATTTCTCATTAGCTGTAACCCCCTCCAAGCGCTAGAACAGAGCCAAAGGCCCAGAATTGGCGGCGGTGAATGGGACTTGACCTAGGACATTCATATACAGGTATAAATCCTGAACACTCCAGCTCGACTCTCCCACCCCCACAGCAAATATAAGTCAACTACTTGACCGATCTAACCTCCATACAACAAGCCATAACAAACACCACGCCCGCCATCCCCGCCCCAAATACAAATGTGACCCTCAACCCCTTACTATATTCCTCTGCAATGAGACTTGCATACTTCTCCAACCCGGTCCCCACCAAACTCGTTGCCCCCGCATTAATCACACTCTCTGGATCCAGATACGGCGTGATAGCTTCAATACTCTCCTTCAATTTATTCAAGAACAAACACTGCGCGATACCCAGGGACAGCGCGATGCCAAACTCCTGCGAGAAAGACATGATAGCTAGTCCGACGGACGTGTCTTTCTCCGGGAGGATAGCTTGGACAGCTAGAAAGGGTCCGGAGATTCCCAGGCCGATCCCAAAGCCGAGGAGAGCGAGAGCAGGGATCCAGAATGTGGCTGGGGTGTCCTTTTCGAAGTAGGTCGTCATGATGGCACCTGCCAGGGTGATGAGTCCGGCAGGGATCATGAAGATCACGTAATATCCTATGTATGTTATGGCGTAGCCGGAGATGACGCTGGCGAGGAGGATGGATATTACCATTGGGAGGAGCATGAGGCCGGATTGCAGGGGGGTAGCGGATCTGACTACTTGGAACCAGAGGGAGAGCTGTGAGAATTGTGAGTGGGTGGATGGGTAAGAACGACGGTGGAGGGGGGATCTCACGTAGTAGGAGGCAATGCCGTTCACGGCCTGAAGGGCTAGACTGAACAGGGCTCCGAAGAGGATTGAGCGCTGTTTTAGGAGTCGTAAAGGAAGCATAGCGAAGTCTTGCTTCTTCACCTGTACGAGCAAGAAAACGACAAAGAAGATGGGTGATATCGTTAGCAATGCAATGATGCGGTCATTGCTCCAACTGTAGGTGTCTCCGCCCCATTGAATCGATAAGAGAAGGGTTAGTAGGCCTGCTGCGAAGAGAACCATTCCGGCGAAATCTATTTGCTTGAGGCGTTGAACGTGGCTTACGCCATGGGTGATCCTGCCCGAGGGGCTCTTGAATATCACCAGAGTGGTAATGGCAGGCAGGATGGAGCCTATCACGTTAAGGTAGAAACACCATCGCCATGATAAGGAGGAAGTGATGGCACCGCCGATGATAGGGGCGATGGCAGTCGCGCAGAACTCGCTTGCGCTGATGGCTCCGATGTAGATGGGACGTTTGTTTAAGGGTCTAGTCATGGAAATGATCCTGCTGCTTGTTAGACTGTGAACTTGTGTGAGATGTAAATACTGACACCATGCAGCCCTGGCTTATACCCGAAAAGCCAAGTCCGCTGATGACGCGCCCGATGATGAAGACCAGCGAGGAAGGGGCAGCGCCGGAGATGATAGCGCCAGCTTCAAAAACGATGAGGTGAAGTAGAAATGCCCATTTTACGGAGAACTGATCGAATACTCTGCCTTGAAGAAGCTGGGACATGCTGGATGCCAGCCGACTGTTGGATATTGTCAGCTGCTGGTAACATGAGTAATCTAAGCAATGGTGATTGTTACGACTCACAACGCAGACCCATACCACCCAACATCAGCGATGGAGTGGAATTCATCCGTGATTTTGGGCACTGCAGTTGTTATGATAGTTTCATCCTAAGACCTTTTAGAGACCAGCTGTGCTCTATCAGGAAGGATGGACTTACCAGTCCCGTCAAGAACACAGTGAGCACCAGGGAAGCAGAGATTAGAGCGAAGTGGAATCCATGTGGGTATACTGGCTGCTCTTCATGAGAACCTCCATCTCTAACTTGGGCATTGGAATCGATCTTCGATGCTGGAGCGGCCTCTTCCACCCTTTCAGTCAAGACAATCTCCTCTGTCATCGTAGCCATGGCGCATAGATGCACTCATACCCCTCATAGCAGAGATGAGAATTAAGTGGGTTGTCTAAATGTCCAGACAACAGGCACAGACAGCCGCACTTAAATCCGACAAGACATGTGCGGCATAGAAATTACTCATTTGCCCCAAGCGCTCGGAGCCTTATTCTAATTGCACCGCTCTGCGTTTATCAGCCAGTGTGGACAACCTATAGCTGGCGATAACATATATCTCGCAGCCTATTTTTGACAGGGGTTTTGGCACCGGTCCTGTCCACTAGACACTGCACCATCCAACCAGACGACGAGGTGATCAGATCCTCCGGATTCTCCGATGGTACTCCGTACCTTCAATGTCGTCAGCCACCACTCAGGCCTCCCACAGGACGCATCGATCAGGCAATAGCAATCCGATATGTTGAGGTAGAAGGGGAGCATGAGACTCTTGTACAGACGTTAGATACTAGCCGAAATTAGTCGAAATCATAGCTTTTGTCTGGTAGCTATTCACTTACGATACTATTGCTCTCTCATGGAAGGGACGACTATCCCGAGGTGAGAAGGATCAATATATTTTACGTGTGAGGGTGGGACATGCAAGTAGATAGTTAAAGAAGGTTGCCCAGCTAAGGTGCTGGAAATAGTCAAATCTGGAATGGGCAGGCACCGCCGGGGCTGACAATTGGGCATGCATCTATCATTAAGCGAGCAAGGTAGCCTATCTCAATAACTCGCCCACTGCGAGACACAATTACCCAAATGAATGAAGCGTTAAATTTCAGCAGGGTTCAAACCTACAGTAAGCTCGCAGCGCTGGTGATCATGTTTTCATACTAATTGAGAGATGCAGCCATCACGATCGTTCAGTGTTCAAGCAGCATAGCGAATATCACAGGCTATACTGCTTCACTATCACCCCCCTTCTCAAACAACTCTTCAATCCTCTCCAGACTCTTCCCCTTAGTCTCCGGCATCAGCACACAGACTGCCACTGCCACAAGTGTCGAGAACCCATACAAGAAATACGGACCCGAAGGGGACCGATGCAGAAACAACGGGGCCGTAAGGGTGACGACAAAGTTGACAATCCAGTTGGCCAGCAGCTCTACCGCACATACCTTTGCCCGGAGTCGAGTGGGGATAATCTCTGAGGCGTAGATCTTGCCGACCTATAGAGAACCACATCAGCAAAATAGTCTGTATGACTTGAGGAAAAGTACGAACCACAGCCCACGACCAGGAAAAGTTTGCCACAAAGATGAATATTAGCACGACTACGGCCCATTGAGCAGAGTGAGAGTCCAAGGTGACAGCATCGTGGGTTGTGTGACCGTAACGGGCATACAGTGCTCCAATGACGATGAAACAGATGGCCATCGCTGATCCCCCCATGATCAAGGGCTTACGGCGCCCCCATCGGTCTACCCAGATCTGGGCGGGGATGGTGAAGACTAACATCACAATGCCGATGATGCCAGATGACAGGAAGGAGGCTTTGGTGGATGTGAAACCTGCCTGTTCAAAAAGAATGGGTGCATAGTATAGTACCACATCGATCTATGGCCAATCAGTCCAAAGTCTGGCTAGCCCAGTAAAGAAGCATGAGTTCAGTAGGCAAAAGCAAGATGACCTGAACTTACCCCTGTCAGCTGCTGAAAAGTCATTAGGAACACTCCAAGCGATGTACGACCAATGTACTTCCGACCAAATATCTCCGCCATACTAGCAGTCGCTCGCTGCTGGTCAGACTGCAGACTATCCTGAATCTCACGTAGCTCTTCTTCCACCACAGGTTCAGGGCGCAATTTACGCAAAACCCGACGTGCATCTTCGTTGCGGCCGACCTGCACCAGCCATCGAGGCGAGAATGGCAGGAGCAGCATCACGACCGACAGGACCGCGGCCATGATGGCCTGAATAATAAACGGTACCCTCCATGACATACTCCCATTGAGATACTGTGTCCCATACGTGATAAAGTACCCCGACATAATGCCAAAGACCACGTAGAGCTGAAGCGAGCAAGCCACCACGCCCCGCACATCTGCAGGGGCTATCTCCACCAGGTACACGGTGGTGACGGAAATGGCTTGGCCCATGCCAACCCCGGTAATCAGCCGGGCGACGATCAAGCTAGCGAAATTAGGCGAGCAGGCGGAAATTATGGTCCCTGCCAGTGAGAGCAGGCCGCCGATGAGAATTCCGTACTTTCTCGAGATGCGGTCCGAGACATGGCCGCTCGCCAAAGAGGATGCGGATGACGAAAGGAGGATACAAGCGACGAAGACACCCTGTTGAGTAGACGACAATCGGCCAATAGAGGATTCGAATTGGGGCATTTGCGTGACTGGGCCAATCGAACCTGGAATTGTGAGTTTCGGGGCCATAGCGTGAGGGAAGTGAACAGACCTGTGTCCAGGCCATACAAGAGCCCGGCCAGGGCTACAAGGCCAGCAATGAGGAAAACCTTCCCCTTGGGCGAAACCATCGGACGAGACTAGGGTGATTGAGAGAGACGGAAATAGATGTTTTGACTGAGGAAGAAGACGCTTCCAAGCGATCTCCTTTTTGCATGGGCTTCATTCACCCCCTCTCTAAGGTAGCATCGCCTAAGTTGCTCGTTGACAAATGAAAAAGGTCGCCGGCGTCGGAGTTGCTGGGACAATCTTTTGCGGTCTGGACTTATACCCCGGCCGTCAAGAATGATTTCGATAGGATAGTGCAGCAATATATGCATGCTGTGCGCAGCATGATCGACCCAGAGCGGTCAGGTCAGTGCCTGAGAGAGGTGGGATTACCGTTGGATTTAGATTGCAGATTCAGCCCGGAGACACAGGGGGCGGGGAATGGTGCAGTCCAGCTACCAATAACGCATTGAATGGCTCGAATTGAATCTGAGTTGAGGTTACATTCACTCGCATGCTGCCTCTAGCGCTTATGCCGATCACCGCTCTCCATATGGGCCAAGCCTGTACACAGTCACACCTGTCGCTGGGCACCGAGCCGGTCTTGCAAGTCCTCGGGGCCAGTCCCCTTGCGTCTTTGAGTCTCAAAATGCAATTGTCACACGCGAAATAAGCGGGTGCAACACACGAGCCTCGTAACCCAGGAAGTTGCGTACCCGGTCAGGAAACCACCAAAAATAGGGGATTGTCGACTAATTGCATCGAGGCCGTCACCTCATGTAGAGACGTCAGAAAGACATTGGCGCACTCGGTAGTCAACGATGTAGCTAGCGGCGACCAGGGTACGCAAGCCTAGCATGCAATCGTTGCATCGTCGCAATAAACCGGTCGGAAAGGGAAACATTTTGGTAGGTCATCCGCACGGTCAAGCCGAGGCCCAGACATAATGTTTACCTTGTAAGGGTAAGTGTACGGATCAGCTTCGACGCAACACTTCCCGTCGGCTAATTTTTGGCTGACGAAGATCATGGATCGATGGTCTCTGAAGGCCGAAAGGTAAGACCTGTGTCGACGATGGCGAAATTCGTAATGCCTGTGAGTGCAAGAAGGTCGCCGAGCTCAGAACCCCAAATATTTAAAGTCCTGGGTTCCTTCACGACCGACCAGTTGTGGGGACACTTAAAGCAGAAAAAACAAAGATTCCTGACCTAATTATAACCATGGATATCAAAAAGTGTGGTCTGGGTGCAAATGGTATGTTTGTCTTCAGTGTCAAAATCTTGCCATTTAGCTGACCTGTCACTCCAGTCCCAAAATTCTATGATCCATCTGACGTCGAGTCAATCCGTGCCTCTGTCTTCAATGATGGTATAGCTTTTGTGGAAGGTTGCGAGGAAGAGGCCTTGGTGGGTCTTGCACACCAACTGGGACAAGTTGTGAGACCGCGGAATGAGGCAACACCCGGTAGTGGTGTAAGTCGAATTCGGTTTGCGTCAGACTTGATTGGAAAGGGATACAGCTCTGAAGGTTCGTCCATAGAACGAGGATAATTCACAGACCATAACTGACGTACTCATCATAGAGCTATTTTTTCATACTGATCGCAGCGGTTGGGACGAGCCTCCGCGGATCTTGATGTCAACACTTCGTTCTCAATCAGAATCCGGGGGTGAGTCGTTGCTAGTCGACGGCCAAAGCGTCCTCAATGCCCTCAAGAAGCATGATGAAGACCTGTACAACCTCTTCACTAGCTCAAAGCACACCAGCTTCCGTGCCGACGATGGAACGTTCGTGCCACGGGCCATGGTCGACAAGGACACGGGGATTTTTCGCTTCCGGTTCGACGATGGCATCCAGATGTCTGCATCGATGGTTGTTGGCTTTGCCAAGCTGCAGGATATCATTTACCAGCATGCCTATTTCGTAACCTTGCGACCCGGCCAGGGCTATGTGCTGGATAACCACCGGTACCTGCATGGGCGAGCCTCGTTCACTGGTTCACGGGAGCTGTTACGAGTCCTTGTCAAGCCCTCTTCTCCACCCAGCGAAAGGGTAATCTTGTTTGACATTGATGGAACGCTTTGTCGGTCTGAGGCACTCAGTATTGATGCATACTATTCTTGTGTGAGTGACATTGTGGGAAAGGACATCAATCATGCAAATACCCCGGTAAACCTGCACGGACGAACCGATCTTGGCTTGCTGCATGATAGTCTGGATTATCACCAGGTGGCCACGAAGGATCAGGTGGTGGAGAAGTTCCTCAAGCTCCACCCGCAGTACCTGGAGCGTTCTTTGTTCAGGGGTCTACCATCGGTGATATGTCCGGGCGCACAGGAAATGCTGAGCTGGCTGATTAGGGAAAATGAGAACTCCAGCCTACCGAAGTTCCAATTGGGTCTAATTACGGGCAATTCTCGACCCAACGCGTTGCTCAAGCTCCGCGGAGCGGGAATTGACACCGGCATATTTGACCTCGCTATCTCGTCATTCGGTGACAGTCACCATAATCGACTATCATTATTTCAAGATTCACTCTCCAAATTGCAGGCCCGCTTTGGTTCGCATATACGCGCAAAAGACGTCCTAGTCGTTGGAGACACGCCTCTAGATGTGGAATGTGCGAAGCAGGCTGGTTGCTCAGTCGTGGCCGTTGCAACAGGGAACTATAAGATGGAGGAGCTTGCCTCGCTGAAGCCTAATTTCTGCTGCAGTCAGTTGACTGAAACGAAGGAATACCTTCTGCAGGCGGCCTTTTAGGCATTACCGCCATTGTTAATATATCTTTGTCACATACACGTTATGAAATGGCCACACACTTTGTATCGCAGGTGACCATATATATATCCGAGTCCATGGTAGAAAAAGGCCTTCCACACGGCCCAATGTGAATTCGTATGAGCTGTAAAATCTCCATATTCATCCGGAGTAGCAGTAAATATTGGTTCATATTGTTCATGGGTGGCCTTCGAAACGGTGCTCCCACCTAACTGCGCTCTGACTCCAATGTCGAGCCAATAATTTCCTGGATTTCCCCGGCCGCGGTACCTGCCAGAACGCCCACCCCAACAATTCCACCATCGCTGGCCTCTCGAAGGAAGACACTCTTCCCTTCACCCTGTGGTCCAGCACTTAGGATCAATCGGTCAATATGTCGCTGGATCCTGTCTTTGTAGTGAGGGTAGTGCTGGATCACACCACCAGACACGGCCACAACCAACTCCTCCGGACCTTTCCGCCAACCAGGGGTCAACGATTCAGGATTCGGGACTGTATCATTCTGTGTGCTCATTGATTTACTTGGTCCGGAACTCTTATCATCCGTTTCGAGGCGAGACGTGCTCTTCAATTTAACCTCGCCAGTGCATGCTAGAAGACCAACTGTCGCTGCAGCAACCAAGGCAGATGATCTCTCTTGAACCGCCGCAGCGATCATACGAATATGACCAGCAAGCTCAGGGGTCCAAATCCAGTCACTCGAGGATGGTGACGGAAGGTGGTTGGATAGTGCCACGGCCAGATGTTCGTTCGAGGAGCTTGAAGCCACCACCAGCGACAGAAAGTCTGTAGATAAGCAGTCCCTTTCGACCAGCTTCTTCGGCATTGATGAGCGTGGGATATTCTTGGCTTCATGAAACCAATCATAACAAATGATGCGGACAAGCTCGCCAATATAACGGCCACCAACCATATACTCTAGGGGCTGAAAGCCGGGCCGATTTGAATGCTCTTCCAGCTCAGCATCCCACTTCGTTACTATACCGAGTTCCTCCAAGGGTCCGGTTGCTCCGTGAAGGGTCCATTCAGTTGAGACGACAGTTTCATCTGCTTCTGGCTGCTTTTCTCGGATGTGGGCCACTTTTGATTCCTGTAGGTCAGCAAGTTTCATTGGAATAGCGGAGTTACAACCAGCGCCGACGATAAGCCCCATGACGACCCGAGTATTCGGGAGGGCACGTATCGAGTATGCCAGAGACGCTAATGTAGCGACCGTGTCGTTGGTCATGACAGTGACCTTCAACTTCGGCAGACAGTAAGTCTTGCGTCGCTTGGCCGGCATGTCACTTGAGTCCTGATCTGAGCGCCGGGTGTGACATTCATATCCATCCAGCAAGGCTTGGTGGAGATTTAGCGAGGAGTTCAGGGCGAACCCCTTGCCCGTGGGCATAAGAATGGCCTCATTGAGAAACTTTTGCCTGCTATCGGTTAAACCAATGCCTACATATTCAGCAAACTAGATACGAACTTAGTAGGAAAGCAGAAAGAGATTCCCATGATAAGCTCTTTAGGCGGGTCGCCTCTAGAGTTGGCGAGATCATCCGCAATGACTTCGGCAATGCAGTCACCGATCCAGGCGAATAGGGACCGGGCTTGGTCTCGTCGTAGCCGCTCTTCGATGGGCCACGCCTTCTCCAGGGTTCGTCTCACATGAGGCTGTCGTCCTACTGGCTGGTCCCCTAGCAGTTCAATGAAGGCCACCCGGAGGTAGGAAAGGCCGAGGTAGACGGCCAGATAGCGACCTGTTTCATGGCCGGTGGGCAGCCGGGTGATGGCGGTGGGGAAGAACTGCTCCGATGAGCTGGCAGCAAGCTCCCGGTATGTATAGGATAGGCGATGGGAGAGGTTGTAGAGTGTGTGGTGGTCTATACTGAGGGGATGCAAGAATTCTTGGAGATTAGGATCCGACTTTCCCATCTTGGCGGATGAATCCTTGGGGGAATCAACAGTAACTACTACTATCTAGTAGTTATGGAGGGAAGCAACCCAAGGCGGGCGGCGGGGACGAGCCGCCGGTGCGTGGCTTTTGCTCCACCCCCGTGGCTCTATTCTGCTGTGGTACCACGGGTCTTCATGCAAGGAGCAACTCTGGTAAAAGCCAAAGAAACTACAAAGACTGAGCTAATACTTGATGCTTGCTTTGACATAATGGACATAAGTGACAGGGTTAAATTTCTTTGAATTTCTTGGGTGTGAGTGCGTGGGCGATAGAGGATCTAGAGAATGCCTGGTTATGGTTAATGCTCCAACAGTACCTACCAGCGATGCCAAACAGATCGCAATTTTCGCAATTACCGACAACAGTTTACACAGTGAAGAGTGCAGGTGGCTTTTGATGAGTAATCACCTGAGGAGCCTTATCAACTCCGGGATAGGCACTCTAATAGTATCGTGATATAAAATTTTTAAGGCGGAGTTGAATGACTCCCAACTACTGAGAATAACCGGAATCATCTTATGTCACATATTTTCTAGATAGTTAACTAGTAACTAGTTAGTTACTACTCTTTCATGAGTAATCAGCGGGTGGCTGGAGGCCTGAAGCTTCCATTCAGACCATTTAAGTCCGAGTAAGCACCGATGCCCCTCAGAACTGGTCATCTGTCAGACAGCATCTTTCTTCCTTAGAAAAGAAAGCGTCAACGTTGAAAACTGTAGCATATTCGCTGATCCAACGTCAAACCAATTCCCAATTATTAACCTTCTATTCCGTGCCCTCACAAAATGACACAAAACAAGGCTGCCTGGATTACGGCCCCTACGGAGCATCCGTTCACTATCCGGGATGCGCCGTATCCCACACCAGGACCCGGGGAAATTGTGATAAAGAATGCTGCTGTTTCTATTGTGCGATCAACCCCGGGATTTCACTGCTATCAGCTAATTTCTTTTCTTATAGAATCCCGCTGACTGGAAAATTCAGTACGATTGGACTTTGCAACTTTGACGCCGCGTACATGTCAATCTAATTTTCTCCACAGGACATATGGTGGCCCTTGGCTGAGAAACTGGCCTTTTGTCTTGGGCACAGATGTCGCAGGAGTGGTGGTTGATGTAGGCCCTGGTGTGGTCCGCTTCACCAAAGGCCAGCGGGTCGTTGCGTAAGTATTGTGGCTGAATCCAGAACGTGAAGTTTCCAGATAATAGCGAGACCTGCTAATTGCTGTTGCAGGTATTGTCACTGTCTAGGGACCGGGGATCCCGCCAACTCGGGGTTCCAGTTGTACACCTTGGTAAAGGAAATCACTGTAGCAGGTATACCTGATTCGATTACCTTTGAAGAAGCATCTGTGCTACCGCAGGCTATTTCGACTGCCGCAGCAGGTCTATTCCTCAAAGAAAGTCTCAATCTTCCCATACCCCCTCCTACCGGTGCGAAGCCGACAGGCAAATCGATCCTCATCTGGGGCGGCGCGTCTTCGGTTGGCGCAACAACAATTCAATTCGCAGAAGCAGCCGGTCTAAGTGCGATCACGACTGCATCGACCCATAACCATGGGTTAGTGAAATCTCTGGGCGCAAGTGCTGTTTTCGACTACAAGTCACCTACCATCGTTGAGGATGTTGCCAGTGCGATCAGAAACACGGACTTTATTGGCGTCTACGATGCTATTTCCGAACCTGCAAGTTTCGAGATGGTGCGTGCGGTTCTGGACCGGCTGAAGGCAGATGTTAAGACTATATGTGTTTCGCCATATGATAAACCTACGGAACGGTTTGCTCCGATCTTTAGTAAAGCCCCTTATGACATGCTCCTACCCAACCATCTTCTCTACATGTAACTAACAGTCTTCCCCAATTAGTCAGTTCAAACTTCCTCACATATGACTCAAACAAACATGTCGCCGACGGCATTTGGAGAGACTTCGTCTCGGAAGCCTTGGAAAACAGACGCCTCAAACCAAAGCCTGACCCTGAAGTTGTTGGGAAAGGGCTGGAAGAGATACAGAATGCTGTCGACATTCTAAAGAAGGGCGTCTCGGCAAAAAAGATTATTGTCACTCTGTGATCATCGAATGCTAGTTAAGCTTTTTGAATTTGGGAAGTGGCTGTATGGAAAGAGACAACTACTACAATTTCCAGACCTACATTTCTTTTCAAGACCGAACAATGCTAGTAGTACTAGTATACGCCTTTCAGGATTTTGAAATGGAAGGTAATGGAAATTGGAATATACAGCTTTAAGAGGTACTTTTTCTGTCTATCCAGGAATAGACGAGCCGGGGGCATTCTGCGCCCGCTCCTCCGAATAGTTATCGAAGAAATTCTGGATCATTAACCCACCCGCCGCATCGAGAAACTCGGCATTGAATGATCCGGGAGCATATCCAGACATATTATCATCAAGCCCTAATGTATTAGGTTTGAAAGTTTGTTGGTCATTCGTAGGGAACCAGAGAGCTCGGAAAGACCCTGGTAGCTGGCTGGAAGCGTAAGGAGCCATGTCGCTGGGGACGGCAATTCCATGACCATGCTCTACCACATGTTAGTCACATTCACCTAGGGCCTGCATTTCTGATTTTCTGTGGCAAAATAGTTCGGGACATACCAAGTATGTTTTGTAGCACGTCTCGAGCTCGCAGGGCCATATCATGGGAAGAACCCAGACTTCCCAAACAGTTCACAGCGCGTTGTATTTGACATTTCCATGTCTGCGCGAGGCTATGTGCTGGCTCATATATATAGCACGTCGCCTGGACAAAGCTGGCTGTTAGCAGCCAGCAGGTCGCATACCACGTCAGGCCGCGGCGGCGGTTGCTCGTTGACTCGAGAAAGCTGCAGATGGAAGCAACACACTCATCTGCGGCGGTAAGACAGGCGGCAACTGGGCCTGTAGAGGTGGTGAGCTCGGATTTAGCGGCAATACTTTGGAAGAGAAAGGGGCGGTTGATAACAATGCGCAGGTGGAAAGAGCGCCATAGAAGGACTCGACGCGGGATGTCGAAACGCGGCTCTAGGGGAATGCTGAGCCCAAAATGGGGCGGTAGCTCCTGGTACCATGTGTGTATACGCTGCTCGAGATCTGCAGCTTTCTGTTGGGTAGGTAAATGGTGCGTTAACAGCTCTACCTGAACGACATTGGCAATCTTTGCGAGGTTCACTTGCGCAATGAGGCATGAGGTAATAGTCGGGCCGGTGCCACACTCAGGTAGTTCATCCATGTCTACTGCTAGATCATGGTCATCGACATTAGCTGGTAGATGAACATTCACACCAACAAGCGAGACTGCTGGTCGGCCCAGAGTCAGCTGAACGCCTGATACAAACACAAATAGTGTCCACCAAACGCGTCGGCGTATCTCCATTGTGAAGGGCGAAGTGCTAGGCATGCCAAACTCCCGATGCAAGCCAATGGCTAGCGCCATACTCCAGCCGATACCAATCACAATAAAAGCAGCATTTGGTTTGTTGCGCTTCTGCATATAGTTTGCCATGAGAACAATCGCTTGCACATAACTGAGAGACCCTTTCTCAAGAACATCCATTGACAAATGCTTGCGTGCTTCTTTGAAGAATGGTATATCCACTTTGGTGCCTTGCGAATCTCCAACGAAAGCCCCAATGGCGAGCACAATATTGTACAATATGGGCCAAGAGCCATCGCGTGGCTTTGCTAGGGCACCTGTTCGTTGTTAGACATCCGCTTGTTATTTGCTGCAATAGAGGGCTACCTGAGACGCGAGCACGAAAAGTTCCTTCATGAAGAATGGGATATGCGGGATGATAGAAAGCAAAATAGTCATCCAGGTAGCGAAGTACATCCGCCCGTCTCTGCTGTGCAGTGCAGGCAGTACCACCATCAATGTCGTCGTCGAGGCAAGACAACGGGCTGAAGCTGGTTAGTGGTAAGTAAAGTGGAAGTGACTGAAGAAACTTGAGAGCTGCTATGCCAGACTGTGGCCCTGTATAGCCTGCCTTGTGCGGATCAACCGTCAGAAAGCCCATGCCGTCGGTAGAGTTGTCAAAGTCCTGTGACTCGTCGAACTCATAATCTTCGGCGTTACTCGGTTCAACAAAACCAGCAGGAGGCTGCTCAGTTGCATGAGTAACGTCGCTGAGGTGCTTCTGTCTGTGGGGGCCTTGCTGGGTAGCAGTGATAGAGTCGTTCTGGGAGCGGACGGTGTGGAGCGCATCCTGGAGATCAACTGTAGGAAGGTAGATGGCCCATGCTCGTTCCATATCAGCTCTCAAGCGCTCTGACTCATTGAGACGTCTATATAAATGAGCATTTTGATGAAGAAACCAGAGTTGAAGCTAGCTGATTTCCTTTACCTTTGTAAAGTCGAAAGACGCTGGGATGGTGAAGAGTAACGACAAGATCTGGCATCCCGGCGACAGTTGTTGCAATTCTCGTTTCCAGAGCAGCGTATTTTGCGTCGCTTGCACTCATCACAAGCAAAGGTCTTCCGAAGAATGCGTCGAGACTGAGAGATGTCCATCGCTATGGGTGTAGTTCAAGGGAAGAATGAGAAGTCAACCGTGGCGAACGGAGATTTCCCCGGGTGACGCCAAGACGGCTCCCCGCAGAGTCTGGGGATACCGACATCTACACATCGTTGCTGAATGGAAACTCGGCTTGGTTCCTGCTCGTGATGGACAAGCGTTATCTATGAGTTGACTATCTTGAAAGGGATAGTCTAGACGATATGCAGAGGAAGCTACGTGTCCTAAGGTAGCAAGATGCCGATCGGGCATCTACTCGGCACCCCGGAAATAGCCCCGATGCGCTACGGCGATAGATCCGGTGCTCTCTGCACGGCTCGGACCCAATGACGTGCCACGGTTTCCCGGACTATCATGCAGGGCATTTAAACGCTGACCTCGCTAAGTACAGTTGGCTGGATTAGCAATCTTCAATACTCGATTTACAAACAATCTGCAAATGCCATCATGTCCCTCAAAGGTAAAGTCGCCATTGTCACTGGCGGAGCCCGCGGAATCGGCGCCGGCATTGTCCGCAGTTTGAGCGAACAGGGTGCAAAGGTATCGTGATCATATACTAATTTTCTGCCGAAACGTGATAGTTTTACTGACATTGAAGCAGGTCGCATTCAACTACGTCTCCCCATCTTCGCGCAAAGCCGCAGATGCGCTTGTCGAATCACTCCGACAAAACAACAAGGAAGCCACTGCAGTTCAAGCCGACATCACCGACCCAAATGCCCCGAATATGATCATACAAGCGGCCCTTGAGGCATTCCAGACAGACCGGATTGACATTCTTGTGAACAATGCTGGCGCGGGTGATAACCGGCCCCTGGAGGAAGTAACCATGGACAGCTATATGCGACTAATGGATGTCAACGTGCGAGCAGTCGTCTTCATGACGCAGGCCATACTTCCATACATTCCCCGCGGAGGTCGGATTATCAACTTGTCTTCTATCTCTTCTAGGGGCGGTTACGCCACCCAATCTGTGTATGCAGCCAGTAAGGCAGCAGTGGAGGGTCTTACGCGGGTGTGGGCAACAGAGCTGGGCCATAAGTATGGAGTGACCGTGAATGCGGTCAATCCGGGACCTGTTGATACAGATATGTACCAGGCAGCCGGAGAAGTACATCTGAAGCGGATGGAGGAGCAAAACAAGAAGGTTCCAGCTGGGCAGCGATGTGGAACTGTGCAAGACATCGGGGATATTGTGTCGTTTTTGGCTGAAGAAAGATCCCGATGGGTGACAGGCGATGTGATATGTGCTAATGGTGGGATGTTGTATATCTAGACAGAGCCGTGTTGAATAAGGAATACAATGGAAACACTTGGTTTTCTGATTATAATTTTTGACCGAGCTATTGCCCTAGATCTACATGCTTACATCTTCAGGCTCGATACCACGCTTCACAGTTGTGGTCCTTTGAATCCCGAAAGAACATTACCACCCGGCCACCACGGCAGCAAAGTCGCCACAACCCCAACATAATCACGAAGCTCATCACTTCGTGCCGTTCAGGAATTTCACTGTCCACCGTGGGGATGGCCAAGCCTCTGACGGAGCCCAGTGGATGCCATCCGGAAAACCCCCGTCGTTTACCACGGCGATAGCTCCGCGAGCCGAGTCCCACAGTCAGGGCTTGTCCCGAACGTCGGCCCAAGGTCAACGAGCTGCTGGCAATTTCGACAGCTGCAGAGAACCATTTTTACCCGAATGAAACAAGTCCGATGTGTGGATGTAAAGTCGCCCTTGTCTACCTCTAATCACCCTGTCTTCCGGGAGCCCAAATTAGCAGACATTCAGACCTCATGCTGCCAGTATTAGTAGACATATCGATAGTAGTCAATCGGAAAAAGATTCACCAACCCGAATCACCAGGAATTGACTCTCATTCAATATGGTAAGCCGGATTAGGGCTACAGCACGGTGGCTTGCCTCTCGGACAACATTGGACCGGGAACACGCTAGAAACCGGGGGCCCTGTCGTAAACTATTGGCATGAAAACGAATTGACAGTCAATGCGGGGGCTATCTCTGGGGTTCTGGGGTAATATAAAAGCCTTTCCTTCTTCGTATATGGAGCTATTTTTCCTTCTCTCCTCCCATGCTCACCTGATGGGTTCTTCTTTTCCATCTGCTTCATATCCCCCCGCCCCCTAAGACATACCAGATTGTAGTTTCCACATTCTCTACCCTTCCCAGACATGTCTGCTCCCCCGACTGGCTGTCACCGGAAGGCTGCCTCTCAACAGCCTACCTGTGACCAGATTGAGTCCGCATCAGGCCCAAAGATCCTAACCGAAGCCGATTGCTATTCAGAGCTTGGGTTTTCATTCCCAAACATCAAAAAATGGACAATCATCCTCGTCATATTCCTCGTTCAGACATCCATGAACTTCAATACCAGCCTATATTCCAACGCCATATCAGGCATCTCCGAAGAATTCAACGTAAGCAAGCAGGCAGCTCGCTGCGGTGCAATGATCTTCCTCATCTTATACGCATTTGGCTGTGAGCTCTGGGCGCCTTGGAGTGAAGAAATGGGCCGAAAGCCTATCCTACAACTGAGCCTCTTCCTGGTAAACATATGGCAAATCCCAGTCGGCATCGCCCCCAATTTTGCCACCATCATGGTTGGTCGAGCGCTTGGTGGCATCTGTACAGCCGGCGGCTCTGTCACCCTGGGCATGATAGCAGATCTATGGGAGCCAGATGACCAGCAGTACGCAGTGGCATGCGTGGTGTTTTCGTCTGTTGGTGGATCAGTTCTTGGCCCGGTTGTCGGGGGTTTCGTGGAAGCATACCTCCCATGGCGATGGAATATCTGGATCCAGCTTATCTTCGGTGGCTTCGTCCAGCTGGCGCATTTGATACTCGTCCCGGAAACAAGAACATCTGTCATGATTGACAGGATCGCTAAGCAGCGACGGGAAAAGGGAGAGAATGTGTACGGACCGACGGAATTGATCCCTCTCAAGGACCGCTTTTCAGGGAAGGAAATTGTCGGGACCTGGCTTCGACCATTCCACATGCTCCTTACTGAGCCTATCGTGCTATGTCTCTCCCTACTTAGTGGCTTTACTGACGCTCTGATCTTCATATTCATCCAATCTTTCGGTCTCGTGTACGCACAATGGAACTTCAGCACTGTCGCCGTTGGTCTCTCCTTTCTTCCAATCATGATAGGCTACGTTATCACCTGGATCATGGTCATCCCAGTTATCAAACGCAACATTCACGAACGTCGCAGCAAGCCCAACGACGAGAGAGCCCAATACGAATCTCGACTCTGGTGGCTCCTTTACACTGCGCCGTGTCTTCCCATCGGACTTATTGGCTTCGCATGGACGAGTCTCCCGCAGACTCATTGGGTTGGCAGCATGTTCTTCTCAGCCTTGGTTGGTATCGCCAACTTTAGCATCTTTATGGCCACGATCGATTATATGATCTGTGCTTATGGGCCGTACTCTGCGTCTGCCACCGGAGGTAATGGGTGGGCCAGGGACTTTCTGGCCGGTGTGTTGACTGTCCCTGCGACACCTTTCTATGAGAGTATGCCGGCCTTCAAGTCAAAGATGTTTGCGTCTGTATGGTGTGCTGACGTATGCTACAGATATTGGTGGGAAGTATCGTTTGGAATATGCGTCCACGATTCTATGTAAGCCACCACTTGCTCTGTTGCAGCATATTACTAATTCATTATATAGTCTGCATATCCATGATCCTTGTGGCAACGGTATATGTTGTATACTTCTATGGACCAACCCTTCGCAAACGGTCCCCGTTCGCCCAGAAGTTGCTGCATGAGAGGGCAGACATACACGCGTCGATGGAGCACAACAAGTAGTGCTAGCGACAGGCTATTATCAGCGGATGTTGTCAAATGTATAAGCACCGATGCGTGATAAGTGATTACTTTACAATAGGTCGTATACTACTTCCGACTTCAGATCTTGTGCTAGTTGGGAATCATACAATTGCTGGTAATAGGAAGCTTACAGAGATACCAAGCCAACTGTCCATTCCATCTGTATTGCAAATGTCCTTAGCTGGATGCAGTGAAACATAATTCGGCTACATACGGTGTTCTATTCAGTTGGTATAGCGGTGAGAAGCAGCAAGGGTTAAGGCAGTCCATTGACGCAGTCTTACCTTCCTGTTGAACACAATCCCTGTTATTAATACTTTGTGCACCCCCAAACCCATACCATGAAAGCATCAAACTAGATACAACAAGATGAGATTATCTAGCATGCTAATCACTAGATTACGAATAAGTAATTCAAATGAAATAATCTCTTTTACTGATTGGGTCTTCAAGGCCGTGCTTGCTTCGTCACTCCACGAACACAGCCAAGAAGGACGTCAAAAATGCCTCCTCTCAAGCCCTCACTGTCATCTAAGCTGCCTATCTTGTCTTGTAGCCCACTAAAGACACGAGTTTCCTCTGACCTATATAATTCTCTTAGAGGCAGAGCCTCAAAGATCCGCTGACACTTCAACGCAAAATCATGACTCGACTGTCCATAATTTTCAAGTAAGACATGCCGTTGCTCTGTTGAGCACATCTGCAATGCCCGGATAATAACCCAGGAGCATTTATTCTCTTGTATATCTGTGCCGATCTTTCCTGTCAGATGGTGGTTACCGAAAATATCGAGATAGTCATTTTGGGACTGGTAAAAGCTGCCCAGCGGTATAAGGATATCTTGGATTTGTTGGACATTTAGGGGAGTGTCGAGTTGGAGATATTGCAAAGCGATCGAAACTGATAAGTAGAAGGTGTAATAACCTGCCTTCAAGTTGCATATTTTCTCATACTCTGCCATGGTCCAGTTTTCAATGCTGCGTTGTTCGGAAGCGATACCATCGCATTCTTGGCCGATCTCACACAAGAAGGAGACTTCATGGAAGGTCTCCATTATCCTTAAATACGCTGGGTGTGTCTGGAAGTGTTGCTTGAGAAGGAAGAATATTGACGACCTAAGTAGACTACCGTCGTTGACTGCCTTCATACCGACTGATGGTAGTCGATACCAGCACGGCTTGCCCCGGCGAGTGGATGAATTATCCATGATGTCGTCATGCGTCAAGAGATATGCTTGAAGTAATTCAACCAGCCATCCAAGTACACAAAGATCGTGATACTCTTGCTCGGTTACAGGGCGACCTAAGATTGACAAGCCGGTTTGAGGAACAGAAAGCCCGCGCAGCATCTTGCCGTTCGTTGAATTTTCGTAGAAGCACTATTCCAGACAGCATTTTTTAACTCCGTAGATCGCAAAATTAAGAGCCTCGGGCATCTTACCTTCTCAACATAGTTCTTTACTTCCTGAGGTGCTCCGTTCGAAGCAAAATGCTCTAAAACATCAGCTACAAGCTCCGCAAGAACGCCATCAAACTTGCTCCGATCCACCGTAAAGCCCATTATGCTTGATTTGTGGCTTCCGAGATAGTGAAAATCTTCAAGATTCGTTAACATATGGGTTGTAAGTATTTGTATGGGTTACAAGTAGGCCGGATAGAGAACCCTGATCATGCATCAGTGGATCCGATGGTGCAGGACTGTTGCTTATAAGTGTGAAAGCATTAGAAATCATGTGGGAGATGTGCTCTTTCCTGGATTTTCAATAGATGTGCACAGGCTTTATAAACTTTGGAGGGAGATTTAAGTTAACTTCCGGCATGCCTTGACACACTGGGTAGTTTACCTGTTCTTTAACACACTCTTGCATGACTCTTTATGTGCTCTGACGTAATCATGGGTATCTTGCCCGAACTATAACAGAGACTTACATACTAATCCCCATATGTACTTGATTTTCTAGGTCTCTTGATGGCCTACTCTTTCCGCTTGAGTGCTTACCCCTCGCTGCCTTTTGCTCACTGAGTAGATTTACTGGCGTGGTAAGTGAGATAGCCAATCCCGTGTCGCCTGCTGCGACCAAATGGGATGTAACGCCTCTATTCGTCTTTGAGTAAGATCGGAATGCAATTGAAAAGAGATTCTTACTCTTCCCTTGAAGTATGGCCACCTGGACCATAGTACGATTCGTCATGCGTAGAATCATCTGTAATGCTTCCGTTAATCCTATGGGATTTGCCGTTGCTCAGCATAGTCTCTTTATATCTTTATTGAGAGCAGGATCTCCAAGTTTTGTCCTCTTGAAGGGTGTCAGCGACCATCTAACGAATATCTATCACATCGCATCCCACGTACACAGCGTAACCAAATTTCATGGCCTCGATTATTTGGAGGGTGTCACGATGAACCATGAGGACCTTCTGGGCAATCACATCACTGAATGGAGTCTTAGGGCTAACAATCGTGTGGTTGTAGTAGTATGTGTCTATCAATGGATCACGTATATCAACTGAATAGTTTCGAAGATCATTTTCACATTGATCTTTCGTCTTGCAGAGTAACCAAATAGAGAATAGTAGTTATGAAAATATTAGCGCCCTTTTCTAGAGATTTATTTACTTTAGTTCTTATATAGTATTATTATTCCCCAATTAATCAACGGCGCGAAGCGCCTCAAAATCAACCATAACGTGCTCCCGATACGCCGGCCTCTCCTTCAGCGCCTCATAATACCTCTGCAGACCCGGCCTCTCCTTCCGCTCAATGTCAATACTAAAGTACCGAAACAGCAGGTGCCCGAACTGCACATCCGCAAGGGTAAACACATCTCCAGCCAGAAACTTCTGCCGCGTCAGCTGCGCCTCCGCGATATCCAGAATGGGATCGAGCCCGGCGACTGCCTCGCGAATCGCGATCGGATCCCGCTTCGACGGGGCCACCCGCACCAGCTGCCACCAGATACGCAGCGAGAAGGCCGGGGTGAAGGTGACCTTGGCCCATTCGGCCCATTTATCGATCTGTGCGCGCGCCCGGGGATCCTGGGGCCAGAACTCGTCGGACCCGTAAGCGGATGCCAGGTACCGGTTGATGGCGCCGCTTTCCCATAAAGGCTCGCTGGCGCCATCGCGGAGGACAGGGATGCGGCCGTTCGGGTTCATGGCGAGGAACTCAGGCGTGTTGTTGCCGCCGAAGCGTTGGCCGATGTCGTGGCGCAGGTAGGGGAGGTTGAGCTCGGCGATGCACCACATCACCGCCTGAACGTTGGAGGAGTCGCGGCGGCCCCAGACTTCGAGCGGGGTGGTCATGTTGTCGATGATAAAGATGATGGTAATGCTGATGGATAGGAATGATGCTGATGGATAGGCCGAGGAGGCGGTTTACTCGGAGGACGATATCGGACATATACCCCGCCTGCGGAATTCCGGGGCGCTGATTGTCGGTGCTAACTTATTTGGTATAGACGGTGTAGGATAGGATTGGCCACCGCTCCTTTAGCGAGACGGTCAGCTGCATCGTTACCCGGATCGTCGCAACGGCCGCTGATCCGTGGCTTTTGTGAGCCAGCTTGAGGACCAAGCTGATCGCGTGAAATATCCCGATCAGCTCCCCTCTATAGAACTGCAGTATTTTGCCGGAGGGGCGCAGGCTTGTCGTGAACCTGTAGATTTCAGCGGAAGCTTCAGATTCCCAGGGTGGTCGAGGCGTTGGCCGATCGTCTCTAAATGGTTGAGGCAGTCTGGGGCCATGCGTTTCAAGGGTATGTGCAACCGCGAAGCATGCATGTATTCCCACATTTTGGCTCTATCTTTGGGCCATCTGGGAGACCTCAAGCTTCACAAGACTGCTGGGGAGAGTGTGTAACCGGGCGACGACGTGTTCGGCCCTTTGCCTGAGACGTAGATGCGTGGGTAGCAGAAAGCGTTTAGCTCCAACGGTCGTAGTGACTACTGTTCTGGATGCTGACGGGATGCGGATGAATGTTTCTTGCTGGACCGTGTGTTTTGCTTTGCAGTGGGCTGTGTCAGATGGTTGGTGCGTAGGGGTAATGCAGGCGCGGTAGACTGCCCTAGGCCGCACACGGCCGGTTTCACATTCAGCTAGATATTATAACTCGTAACGGTTGAAGAAACAGATGGAAAAAGGTTAATCATATAGTTACCCGCATTCATTGACCGTTTGTACGTAATTGGGTGTTCAGTTTCAGAGCACCTTCACCCGCGTCACAGGCTTCTCCATGCACCCATCCATTCAATTCTCGATTTGATAGGTCCCATAAGCATCATTTACATATCTATGAGTTTATCGGAACGTGCATATAGATGTGCCCGAACTTCATTTGCATCCAAACTCGCCTTTCTTTCTTTCTTTTTTTTTTTTTTTTTTTTTGTTTTTTGAATTGAATGGTCCCGAATGATTTCATGGATCTACTGCATGAGACTTCCGTATCGTCCTCCCACAAGCTTCCGCAATCCCGCTGAGAGCGAGGGACTAAAGAGGATGAATAACAATGTTATAGTACAAGAGTTAACATACCATTCCAACAGCATGCAAGTCATCCAAGAGCATTGGTGAGTACAGAGCAGATAGGAGATACAAGCATCAATCTGCTATGCCGATTATCATTACAATTGCTTACCAGCTGACAGATAGCCTGGTCGGCTTGCCGCCAACACCAGCCCAATTGAAGATAAAAGCAAAAACACTTTGATGCGGATCTCGGATCGTTCCACATTGCTCTGTCCAGCAACTTTCACATGCGGCGAAATGTTTTCCTGTCTTGAGTGGGGAGTGTGGCAGACAGGAAGAGGAATCAGGAGACCTACACACAGTCCTCAATAGCGAAGATATCACCTCCTGCTCATACCAAGTCATCCTATCAGGGTTGTCTTACTATACAGGGAGGGAAGTAGTGTCTAAATACGTCAAACTACCAAATAACTTTCCAGTTCCAGCCCTTGATACGCACTCGCACCCATAGGAAGCATGCAAATGAGGCAATGTAACTCATCCCTGTAAACAAAATAACCCCCCAGAAGCTCTTCCTGCCAGAATCATCAGTAGCCTTCATCAGGCTCCCGGCAATAGGAATGCCGGTCAAACACCCGAAACTAACCAATGTATACGCGCTCGCATAATACCGACCATAGTCCTGTGTCCCGCATAGCTGCCCAACACAGACAGGCGTCAAGCTTATGTTTGAGCCACTTGCAAATCCGAACAGGATGACAAAAGCGATGATAAGCGCCAGAGTTGGGGGCGAATCGGCCATCGCATCTGGTAACCATAGACACATCACAGAAACCAGACATAGCAAGGTCGAGACGATCATGGTATTGTACCGCCCTATTCTGTCGGCAATATAACCGATAAAGAAACGCCCAAGGCAGGAAACTGAATTAAGGATGGCGAGCAATCGGTAAGCAAAAGCCGCATCACTATCAACTATTGCTTGCCGGCCAGATAGCCCTTTTCTTGTGAGGTAGTATGTCGGTAGGTAAGTGATGGGAACGAAGTATGCCCATTCGACTAAGAAGACTCCGGCAGATGTGACGGCCATCGCGCCAGTTCCATCGCGGAAGATGGCTGCACTGGGTAGAACGTCACGCCAAGAGCTTGTTGCACCACGCTTCGGTGGCAGGCGGCTCCGGCAGAGCACTACACTGAGAATACATAGAAAGAGAAGCACAAACCCTACCAAGCGCATCGACCATCCCCAACCCAGGCGTGGAATTAATGACTGCAACATTAGCGGGAATATCACGCCTCCAAGTCCGCTGCCCGTGAAAGCGAAGCCGCTGGCCAAGCCGCGCTTAGCGTTGAACCAGTGCGATATAGTGCCCATAGCCGGAGTGAAGAGAAAGGAGGAACCAATGCCGTTAAGGATGGACAATGACAGGATGAACTGATAGTATTCTGGAAGAAAAGAAAAGAAAGAAGAATTAGCTGCGTGGGCCTGGGAACCGGTCAAGGGGACTGTACCTGTGCAGAGACCCAGACAGAATATTCCAGCAAGCGAGCAGACAGTGCCCAGAATCATCAACTCTCGTGGACCTCTTGCATCAAAGATAGGGCCGATTTGTAGACCGCAGAAGTACGAAATAAAAACGTAGATGCCAAAAATCCAACCTATGGCACTGGGGGAGGAGGAAGGAAGCATGTTGTAGGAGACATAGGCCTCCAAGACGCCGACTGAATTAACAAGGCCTAAGCCTGCGGTCATCGAGCACCAACAGCCGATCGCAACAGTCCAAGCAGCGAAACCGCCTTCAGGATATGTGAACTCGGATACGCTTTCATGGTCGGTGGCCTTCGTCGAACTCCTGCCCTTGCTGTCTGGCTCTGACTGGTTCACCAGACGCAAGCTGTCGGTCGGTTTTGGTCTTCTGTGTGAAGGTTCTGCTGAGATAATGGTATCCATTTAGCTGATATGGGGGGATTCAACTGGAGAAGACAAGACAAGCCCAGTCGAATTCTTCCAAAAAGGGCTTGATACGTGAGGGTGTCCTGGAGGGTCAATGATAGTACGGGAAAATGATGACGGAAGGAAGAGATGGATGGAAACTGTTCATAATGGCAGGGCAGGGCCAGGGTGGCTGAGGGAGTTGGCCACGGATAATCGTTCCTGGTAAATCGAAACTCGAACTAGGAAGGGCACATGCTTCGGTTGAAAATGATTCCGGAGTTGCATCGGAAGAACGGAGTAGACCCCTCATATTCTCTATGGCTTTTTGGGTTTTTCCTTCTCATGTTTAGTGTTCATCAGCCTATAATAATCATCGCAGAGACAAGGAACAACTGGACTCACTACAATCCTAGTTGCCCTAACCGACCTAGGAAGTCCGGCTTTGAATACCCCTGTCTGCTATTAGTAACGAACTATAGCTGCGTAACTCACCGTTCTCAGCTCGGTATTAATAATATCCAAAGTTGGCTAACAGCAGTGGGGGACAGGGGATCTAAAAATACCCATGGGGAGCAAAAGAGGACGTCTTACTCGTCATCGAACTGATCTAAGAAACTTTACGTCCTGGAGCAGGGATATAGAAGGCGGTAAGAAACATCAGTCTATTATCGGAGTATTACAAAGTATACGCAGACAGACTTTCCATCTCATAGCACAGGCCCTCGTAGGGGTCAAATAGTAGCTGGGTATTCCGCTATTGCAGCGCGTACGACTCATGATAACTGGATCCCGGACGAGGTGATTCGTTGATGGCATCTCGCTCACAGGGATGTTGGATTTTCAATTTCAAAAAGCCAGTGCTGTAATATTAAAATAATACTCAAAAAAATATTATAATTTCAAAATATCATGTGATAAATGTATGCCATAGTAGATTCTAATATTAAACTTTAATTAGCAATAACTATGGACTAAAAAGCTATAGCCTACTTACTAATATAGCGAGTAATAAAACCGCAGATGTGACTTATCGCCAAAGTTAGTGGTTCTCTAGGCCCCGACGAGACATTGAAACACTCATATCGAAATTCTACCCGGCCTTATCCTCGAAATACTAGGCACTCCACCACCCAATTCACCCCGGGTCATCATCGGGAGCAGATACCCCAGGCTAATAAGAAAGGTATATCCCATTCACATGATAAAACTCTCATACCGTGAGTTGAGTGGACTATTGGCTAGGGTCCGAAGCTTCAGCCAATAAAAGTCACTGTCCTGTCTCGCTCGGCCAGTACGTAAGAGTATCCGTAGGGCTGGTCTAGAAATAAGTGGCTCTTTCTAAGACATTTCAATATCCAGGGGCTGGATTGATTAGAGAATAAGTCTTAGAGCAGCCAACAGTACAAAAGAGAATTTTTGTATCCTCCTCGATATATGTAGCTCGTTTTACGTAGTGATCTTCAAGCAGGAGTTACTAATATTACGTGAAAAGGTAGGAGCTAATAAATTATTTTGGGACACGGAAGTATCAGACCAGAAGGAGCTTTCCATGATGCAATGGCTCTCGAGGGAATTGGACGTGCAGAGTTTGTAACGGCCACTGCGACAGTACGGGCAGACATTACAGGGGTTTCTAGGCTCCAAAGCAACACGGTCGTTGATCTTCAGCCCTTGGAAATTGCCACCTGTGGCTACTATCACGCCCGAGGACTCATGGGCGAGAATGAGGGGCTGGGTGACTTCGTACTCACCGAGCTTTCCATGCTGCCAGTAATGAATCTGCATGGAGACAATATGAGAGAATCATACTCCTTATGAGTAAGGAAGAATTATCACGTACATCTGAGCCACATAGGCCGGTGGCCACCACGCGGACAAGAACATCCCGATCGGACTCGATGGTCGGGATACGGCGCTCGGAGTGGGTGAAGGTGCCTCCGGGGTGCAGGACCAAAGCACGGTTTACCGATGGCTGCAGTGTCGACATGACGATATCTGGATAACAGGTGACTGACAATCTTTTCATTCCATGCATCCGTGCACTGCTTCAGTCAATTCTTATAGATTGAGCATCGTTTCACGTTGCATAGAGGCTTGAACAGCGATTGGCCCGGCACTATCGCCGAACGAATCAGTGGCGCCGCAGGCTGGAAATAACCCCGAGACCCTTTCCCCACCCCTACCCCACATTCGTCCAGTTGTTCATCGATTCCCCCGCGTCTCGGGCGTATCGCCGTCCAATTTTTGAAGTATGGCAAATTCAATGCCCCAAGGAGTGAGGAATCACATAAATATGGCACTTTCCCGTACATCTCAGGGTAATATCTTCCTCCTAAAACGTTACGCACATCTAACACAATGGAAATCATCCAACAGAAGCCCACCAACTACGCCATCCACACCAGCCCAGCCAACGACCTGCGGCTAGTCGAATGCGAAATCCCCAAGATCGCACCAAATGAGTGTTTAGTGCACGTCCGCGCAACCGGTATCTGTGGCTCTGATGTGCACTTCTGGAAACATGGCCATATCGGGCCTATGATCGTGACGGGCGACAATGGCCTGGGGCACGAGAGTGCCGGCGTGGTATTGCAAGTCGGCGAGGCCGTTACACGCTTCAAGCCTGGTAATTCAAACCCTTCCTCAACCTACTTACAGCCATCCACTAACCAGTCCCCTTCTTAAGGTGACCGCGTCGCCCTGGAATGCGGCGTCCCCTGCTCCAAACCCACCTGCGACTTCTGCCGAACAGGCCTCTACCATGCCTGTCCGGACGTGGTCTTCTTCTCCACACCCCCGCACCATGGTACTCTGCGCAGATACCACGCCCACCCTGAGGCCTGGCTCCACAAGATTCCCGACCACGTTTCCTTCGAAGAGGGTTCTCTCCTCGAGCCACTGACCGTGGCGCTGGCGGGTATTGATCGCTCTGGATTACGACTCGCCGATCCACTAGTCATCTGCGGCGCTGGGCCAATCGGTCTGGTTACTTTACTCGCAGCTAACGCTGCTGGCGCTGAACCCATCGTCATCACCGACCTCGATGAGAACCGTCTCGCAAAGGCGAAGGAGCTGGTTCCTCGCGTGCGACCAGTTAAGGTAGAAAAGGGAGAGAGCTCGGCTGATCTCGGCCAACGGATCATATCTGAGCTGGGACAGGAAGCTAAGCTTGTGATGGAGTGTACGGGTGTGGAGAGTAGTGTGCATGCGGGTATATATGTATGGCTCTCCTCCCTTTTCCAGTCGAAGAAAGCATCGTATCGATTGGGATTGATGACTGACTGGTTTTGATACAGGCAACCCGCTTCGGAGGCACCGTGTTCGTGATCGGAGTCGGCAAGGACTTCCAGAACATCCCGTTCATGCACATGTCCGCAAAGGAAATCAATCTCAAGTTCCAGTACCGATACCACGATATTTACCCCAAGTCGATCGCTCTGGTTGCTGCGGGGATGATTGATCTCAAACCGCTGGTGTCGCATCGGTTTAAGTTGGAGGAGGGGTTGAAGGCGTTCGATACGGCTAGTAATCCTCGGTCGGGGGCTATTAAGGTGCAGATTTTGGATGATTGATTTATAGAGGAGAATAGAAAATTAGCAGTTTCAAGATAACCTAGTCCGGGACATCAGTCCGTTCCTAAGATTCTTTTCGCTGGTGGCCTCTTTGGTGGTAGTTATCCTACTCCTCATGACGTTGAACCCAAAGTACTTCAACTATGGAACCATATGTCTATCATAGGATATCCAAGTGCCCTGCTATGTACATCCGTCCACAGAAGCCAGTGTAACAGCACATACCACCCCTCCTCCACAGAGACTGAACTAAGTTGTACAATCCTGGAACTAAGCCTTCGCCTTCAGCACCCTCTGCTGCTCCGCCCAAGCAAGCGCACTCTTCCTCACACTCTCCTCACCCACCTCTGAGAAAATATCGACACCGATTCTAGCCGGGAAATTCATCCGCTGGTGGCGTTCCAGTGATTGAATGGTTGAGAATGCATCGTCGGGAAGGATGAAATCTGAATAGTCCATATTAGCACAATGAGGACATATGTTGTGGGTGGGAGAAAGACTACCTTGGAAATTACTCTCGATTCTCTCCGGAGTGACGGACTTGGGGAGCACGACAGTTCCGCGCTGGACGGCCCAGCTGATGAGGACTTGCGCAGGGGTTTTGTTTAATTTCTTGGCTGTTTCGATGACGAGGGGGTCGTCGACGGCGCTGGGAGTTTGTCAGTTTCTTGCGAGATATGAAGAGCTGGAAACGGTCTGCATACCGAGGGATGTTGTAGATGTTGTTGCCTAGGGGGGAGTAGCCTGCTACCACGATGCCCTAGACAAAGTTCGATTAGTATGATAGTCGTGTTGTTGAAGATGTAAAGTATCTTACTTTCTGCGTCGACCACTCCAAAAGATCCCTCTGCTGAAGGAACGGATGAGCCTCGATCTGGTTGACTGCGGGAGTAATCTTCGCTCTGTAGATAGCGTCAGCTATGATACATACGCAATAACAAGCATACTCACGTCTTCAACAACTCCTCGATCTTCTCGCGAGTAAAGTTGCTCACACCGATGGAGCGGACTTTGCCTTTCTCTACTAGTTTCTCCATCGCTGCCCATGTATCTTTGATTGGTACGTCTACCACGTCAATCAGGCCCGTTTGTTCATTGACAGGCTGGATGGTGGTAGTTGAGTATCGGAACGCGACGGGCCAGTGGATCTGTACAATATTTAGCAGGACTTCAACGGCTAGTAGACACATCGTCAACATACAAGATAAAGATCCAGATAATCAGTCTGCAAATCAGCCAGCGATTTATCCACAGCTTCTTCGACATTTTCGGGATGGTGGTGGGTATTCCATAGCTTGCTTGTGAGCTATACATTCAGCATGAGTTAGCCCTATATCATAACCCTCTCTTTAGGTTTTAAGGGCTGGCTCACGAAAATCTCCTCCCGCGGAACCCCAGACAATCTCATCCCGTCTCCCACTTCCTGTTCGTTGCCATACACTGCTGCCGCGTCAATGTGCCGGTAGCCGCATTTCAGGGCTGCGATGACGGCGTCGCGGACTTCGTCTTTCTTCGATTGCTGTTTGATTGTGTCAGATCTGAAGCGGGCATGTTTTGCGTAAAAGCGATTGATATACCCATGTTCCTAGGCCGACGGCAGGCATGTCGTAGCCTGTGTTGAGCTTGAAGGTACGGTTTAATGCCATGTTTGGCAGGGGGTTGTTGCGACTAGTTGGGTGTCACGTAGGGTAGTGGTGCGGATGGTAAGAGATGGTTGTTTAGTAACCTGCTTTGGATAGCCGAGATTGAGTCAGAATCCGATGGTTATGCGGAGGTGATAATGAAAAGGTTTACTATTGATCTTGCAGCTTCTATTCTTCGGACAGGAGTATACATCGAGTATAAATAATGCTGTTCTCGGAAAAGTCGTAGGGTGTTCGGATGCTTTTCCGGGGTATTTTCCGAGCTTTCTATAGGATAATATCCAACGCTGTGGGGTTGACGAGATCGCCCATATCCAGAGTAGTGATTGTATTCCCCCAAAAGTAATAGGAAATAGAAACTACACGAAAGCGAAATGAAGGGCTACGTTTATTGGAAACGCCTGAGGGTGTTGATGTATGTCTCCAGGGCTTTAAACAATATAGATCGAATGCCCTAACAGACGCTAGAGCACCGAACCAAGAAAGGTCGCATCGCGATATTTTACGGGCGCCTTGTGACTTTATCGGATTAAAGGAGGATAACCTAGCATTAATTCCAGAATTGCACAACTCGAAATTTGGCGTAGATATAAGGAGTGCTTCAGGTGCCACATGGGAACGAGGGAGCATATTTTACCTGGGTGACTACTACAGCTCAATGCTTTAAGATCAACCATCACATCCTTGAGCAGACTCATCCCCGCAGTTGCACGTGGGAGCAGCCTTTGTACACCCAAAATGTAGGTAGTTCACACCCGAGATTCGGCTCCTGTTATAATCGTCTTTCCATCTTGTTTCATACTATGGGTTAGTCCTAACCTAGGTTAAGAACGTAGGGACAAAGGGGGTATCGAGTACGATTTAAAATTCCTTCATTATCAAGTCTAAGCATCTGCAATACGCATAAGATATAATTCCATCAAATTCAGCGCAAGTTCAGGATAGATACTGACTACCCCCACTGGAGGCACAAGAGACTAGGCTGTAAAGACCGGTATCGCCCAATATCAAGGCAGATCAACGCATACATATCAAAAGGTTCGGGACTATAAGTGGAACATAGAATGTAGAAGGAAATGGGTGATTATCTATAGCAACAATCATACAATAGTCAGGTGATGCCATCCGGAATCTTCAGTAATTGATAAGTGTGAAATGATTGGTCAACATCTCCGCCTTACTTACGCTGCAGGGACTGGGAAAGTCAAAAGTGGGGAAGGGTCCTGTGTTGCTTCTCCTCGGCATCGGAGAGCTTGTCCAGGCTCTGGGAAAATAAGAAACTCACCAGCAACACTTTCCCAGACATCCATTGACTTTCCATCTCGACATCTATCTCGTATTTACACTCTGCTTCTTTTCCCTTATCAAAGTCAATTACTTATCAAGACTCTGCTGCTGACTCTTCGTGACAGCCAAGAGACCGGCTACAGCCAAGGCGGGCTATCCAAGCCGGCCAGCCCAACGATTCGCCCACGGATTCCCCTCCATCTGCATCCGGGTCTAGACTGGCTCAACCCTGTCGCTCCTTCTTTCCTTCTCCAATCCTGCCTTCCCGGGAAACACTCTCGCGGACCCCGCCGTGGACGAGTCATCATGATAAGAACCTTCTCCGCGGGGTTTCTTCTGGACCCCTCCATGCATGCATGTCTTTACGCCCTTTATAGATAGCCTGCTGCTTCCCCTCACTTCTCCTCCCACTGTGACACCACGCTTGGCTCATCATGCACTCTTTGCAGTCTTCTCGTCTTTGCCTGGCCTTGATGGCCATGTCTCTAGCCCTTCCAGCATCGGCTGAGAAGGTACTAGGAGCCTACATCTTTGCTCGACATGGAGACCGCACGGCAAAGGTCCTGAAGGACACGGAGTTGACCGATCTGGGTTACCGTGAGGTCTATACCACCGGTAGCTACTGGCGGAGCCGCTACATTGATTCGGGCTCTTCCCTGCAAATCCAGGATATCAGTGAAGACATTGTCAAGCTGAGCCAAATCAGTGCCTCCACCCCGTCCGACGATGTGCTGCAGAACTCCGCCACGGGCTTTTTGCAGGGAGTCTATCCGCCTGTCGGCTCGTCAGCCAACGAGACCCTGGCTGATGGAACAGTCGTCGATTCTCCTCTGGATGGCTATCAGTTGATTCCCTTGGCCATGACCGACTCGGGGTCAAACAGTGAGGATACCACCTGGCTGCAGAGTGCGACCAACTGCCAAAATGCGGAAGTCAGCAGCAACAACTACTACACCTCGTCATTGTATAACTCACTTCTTAATTCTACCACGGATTTCTATCAATCACTCTCGTCGCTATTGAATAGTACCTTCTCCGAGTCTTCAATGAGCTTCAAGAATGCCTACACCATTTTTGACTACCTCAATGTCGGCTCCATCCACAATACCACCAATGTTCCAACAGCAGAGCAACTGCAACAGGCCTTCCTGTTGGCTAACATTGAGCAATACAACCTGGCTTACAACTCGTCGGAGCCCATCCGAGCCGTAGCAGGTGCCATGCTGGCAGGTGATGTTCTTCAAGGCTTAAATAAGACGATTACATCCAAGGGTAAAACCAAGCTGAATCTTCAGTTCGGCTCCTACGGAACATTCCTCTCGTACTTTGGTCTGGCACAACTCCCCGCTGCGGATGTCAACTTCACTGGAATTCCCGACTATGCCTCCTCCATGGCATGGGAACTAGTGACCAACTCGACCTCGAATGAGTTTCCTTCCACTTCCGATATCAGTGTGCGGTTTGTCTTCCATAACGGTACCCTCAACGAATCCAAGAATGATAGCCCTACTGAGTACCCACTCTACGGCCGGTCAAGTGCCACCATTCCCTGGTCCGACTTTGTGAGTCTGAGCACCAAGATTGCGGTCACGTCGCAGTCGCAGTGGTGCCAGGCGTGTGGCAATACCGATGGACAATGTGCGTCCTACTCGACCAGCTCTAACTCTAGCTCTACTTCTCCAACCCAGGAAATGTCAAGCAGCGGTATCTCCAGGCCGGTAGCGGGCGTTATCGGTGCCATGGTAACATTGGCGGTCATTCTTGGTGCAGAGGCTCTCCTCCTTCTGGTGGGAGGATTCCGCATCACCAAGAAAGGCAGAATTGCACAAAACGCGGCTGCCGACGAAGAAGACAAGGCATCTTGAGTGAGACCAAAAACAGTGAGCATGTATTGTTGACGAGTTTGGATGATCATGATTTTGCGACGGTTGGAGTATCGTCATTCCCAGTCTTATGCTACTTTTTTAGCGTTAGCTGGTTTCATGTCGGGGCCCTGATCCGAGTCGATTTGGGCCTACCTTAGTACCACAGTCGTTATGATATTCTACATTGACGTTGTCCATTTCTCCATTACCCTCACTGCACGAAGATCCTCGTAGCTATCTCCGTTTACTCCTGCATACTGCTCATTTGACAATGAATTGACACGGTTCAGCGATAATCCCATCTTCAAGGTGGATGAAAAGAGAGATCAAGAAGTGGGTTCACTGTACATCGAAATGGGTCGAGGCCTGGATGCGACGAACACCCCGAACCATGGATAGATGCACCTCTGGTTCCACCACGGGGAGGCCCGCCATCGCGACACCTAAGCCGTTACATCATGACCTCGGCTGTCCTGGATACAATCACAAAGTTTCTTCTATGACGAGACACTCGTCCTGTCCTTACGACTACCACTCCAGACACATCTACAGTCATTTTCCATGAGGGACTCCGGTGCGCTCTCTAGCCCGCGAACGCGACACTCGCAGCCAGCCTTGCCGGCCCAGCTTCTACTCGACCATGCAATTCCTTATCCGCTTAACTGTGGCCGCTCTGTTGGTCCTCACTGTGCTCTGGGTCGGATCGCAAGTGAGCATAGTCCAGCCACAGCAGGAGATAATCCCCGAGACGAATCCGGTGGAGGATGAATATCGAGCGGCCACACCTACCGATTCTATACAGCCGGATATTGCAGATATCTCGCACACTCCTTCAGCCTCGCCTTCTCCTTCAGTCAGCAGGAAGAAGCGTCCGTCGATAACGGACCTCCTCCCATCCTACCAGAAGGACACTGCATCCCCTCAATGGGCCATCGACAACATGCTTGACACGACACAGACACCCATTGACGGCGTCATTGTCGTCGGAAGACTCAAATTCGAGAGACCTGACTGGCTCATCAATGAATTGCCTGAGTAGGTCTCTTTGATCGCATTCGACTCTACTACTTCCCACTGACAATCCCACAGCTGGCGCCACGCAATTTACACGCGCGACGACCGTCGGCACCCCCTCAGCATCCCCAAGAATAAAGGCAAAGCCAGCACCGTCTACCTCCAATACATCATCGACCACTACCACCATCTGCCCGCGACGATCGTTTTCCTGCACAACCACCGCAAACCAGGTCACACTGAGTTCCGCGACTACGGAAACGTGGCAGCCGTTACTTTTCTCCGACGGGATTTTGTGCAGAAGAATGGTTTCGCTAATCTCCGCTGTACTACTAGCAGTTCTTCCAGTCCAAGTACCGAGTGCGGGAACGTGATTCGTCCGGTTTCCGATAGCAAAGAGAGTAGTGCGCAAGCATCATCTGTTGAACAGGAGTACCCAACTATCTGGAAGACGTTTTTCAATAGCACTGATGTGCCGGAGATGATTGCGACGCCGTATTGCGGGCAGTTTGCGGTGTCGAGGGAGCAGGTTCGCAAGCGGCCGAGGGAGGAGTATATGAGGTATCAGCAGTGGGTGATGGAGACGAAGTTGAAGGATGAGGAGATCGAGCAGGTGATGGGGTCATTGTGGCATGTTATTTTTGGGAGGGAGGCTGTATAGTAAGTCAAGTCATCTTTGTCAATGTTGGAGATGATATGCTGACGGGTGTTAGTTGTCCTGATACGGCCAAGTGTTTTGAGGATGTTTATGGGTTGTGATTTTCAACTGCTACGATAGTATAGTTCGATAGTGAGGTAGTGACGCTGAATAGATATAGTCACTTATGTTCAAATTTGAAATAGCAGCAGCAGCGGCTGAAGTAGAAGGTTGTTGTAGAGTAGATCAAGCGGATGGAGCTACGCTATTAAATACCACCGCCGCGCCGGCGCGACATGACGTGCGTGACCCACGCAAATTTCCAACTGCTTCAACTTCCATCTCCGACCTCAACCTCCGCACGCGCGCTCCCCCCAACGCACATCAGACCCAACTTCGGGTCACTCTCACTCAGTTCGATGAATTGAACTAGTTCTCATCAATTCAACCACTAACCCCCTATCCACCTACCTACGCGCCCACCCACCTTCAACCGCGCAGCTCCAGCTGCCACCTATCACCACCAAACAACCACCACCCCAATACCCTCACATACTACCACCAATATGTCGACACACTACAACACCGAACCCACCGCGACCGCCTCCGCAACCCTACACACGACCCTCGGCCCCCTGCACATCGCGCTCTTCGCCTCCCAAACGCCCCTAACATGCCGGAACTTCCTCCAACACATCCAAGACAACTACTACGCAGGGACAATCTTCCACCGGATCATCCCAAACTTCATCCTCCAAGGCGGCGATCCAACCGGTACCGGCTCAGGCGGAACATCCATCTACGAGGAACCTGAATTTGAATACGACCCGACAGCGCGCGATCCCAACGAGAAAGTCGTTTTGCGCGATGAACTGCACAGTCGGTTACGGTTCAATCGGCGTGGATTGGTGGGGATGGCGAAAGCGGAGGATGGGAGCTACGGAAGTCAGTTCTTCATTACGTTGGGGGATGCGAGTCGCGAGTTGAATGGGCAGTGTACGTTGTTTGGGAGGATTGAGGGAGACAGTATTTATAATGTGTTGAAGATTGCGGAGGGGGAGGTGGTCGAAGGGACGGAGAGGCCGGTCTATCCTGTTAGGGTTACCGGGTGTGAGGTGGGCGAGTTGGGGCCGTTGGAGGGGAAGATTGTGAAGAGGGATTTGACGGCGAGAAGTTCTGCTACTGCTGCGGGTACTGGTGAAGGGAAGGGGGAGAAGAAGGCGGCGCAGGCGAAGAAGAAGGGAAAGGCGAAGGGAGGGAAGACGCTGCTGAGCTTTGGCGATGATGAGGGAGAGGAGGGTGAGGAGATGCCTGTCAGGCCGGCGAAGCCGAAATATAATGCTGCGCTGGTGACGGATACAGCTGGGAATGGCGATGCGCAACCGGCAGAGAAGAAGAAGCTGAAGGCGAGGAAGGCGTCGCCGTCACCACCGCCACGCAAACGCGCATCACCCACCCCTCCACCCATCGACCGACCCAAGACTCCCGACCCAGCGACACAACTCCCTCTTCGCGATCCAGAATCTCCCGAGCGCTCTCCCAGCCCGGAAGAACAGCCAGCGCAAAAGTCCAAACTAGAGCGGACCAACGCCGAGATCGAATCCTTGAAAGCCTCGATGCGCCGCACCGTAACCACCGAGTCGGACACAGGACGCAAGAAATCCGCATTGGAAGCCATGATCCCTCAGACAGCAATCCGCGGCCGCAAACGCCCACCACCCGGATCCTCAGCAAGTAACAGCGCCAGCAACGGCATAACGGGATTCTCCAGCACCAGCGACAACGCTGCATTGAAGATGTTCAACGCCTTCAAAGCGAAACTCGAAAACGCCGATTCAACCACCACTACCAGCACCAGCACTAGCAGCAAACCCCAACCCAAATCCCAGAAAGAGAAAGAAGAAGACGACGAAGACGACGAAGAATCCCAGCTCTGCGACCTCCACTTCATCGTAAACTGCCAATCATGCAAATCCTGGTCTGACAACAACGCAACCGCCCCCGATGCCGCCGATGGCGACGAAGGGACACAGTTAGGCGATGACACAGACCAAGGATGGTTAACGCACCAGCTCCGCTTCGGGAAAGATACACTGGGCAAGGACCTGGAATGGAAGAAGGAGCATCCGGACGATGTGGATAGTTTGATGGTGATTGATCCGCGGGAGAAGGAGAAGGACATTGTTGCGTCGGGGTCTGGGTCTGGGAGGAGAAAGAGGGGAATGATGGAACGGGACCGTGAGAGGGATAGGAAGAGGGGGAGGGTGGGGGACTTGGAGTGGGAGAAGGGGAGGAAATGACTTTTCTCTCATTGATTAGTTGATGTGTAGCATATTATATCATCTTATACTATAACTACTACTTATACTACCTCGTTCGATTAGTATACCGGAGCTGAATGACAGAATAGAGCGTCAACGACATGATCTAAAGAATTACTACAGGCAACCACAATCATACTACGACGAAGCATATAAGAAACAAAACATAGTATCAAGGTTAACTCGAGGGGAAGAATAAGAGAAGAGAAGACTAATTCCATTTCATTCAATGATATGAACAAACATGCGCCGCTGTCATTAGAATCGTGGTATGTGTAGAAGCATTCTTTCGCGTACGGTAGGGTAATGAGATAAGGAAACAAGGTGATTCGGCGAAGGGGGAGTTGTAAGAAAGGGAAATGATGTGATTGCTTTTGCTTTTTGAGAGGCAGTCAGTCAATAGAAAGAGGCGTGAAGCCAGTCAATCAATCAATGAATCAATCAATCAATCAGTTCAACCAGCCAACGGAATAGTGGATGTCTTGATCTGTTGCTGCAATCAGGTAGGAGGAAATGGGGGAGGGGTATAAGGTCTTGACGGGTTTAGTGGTTAAAGGGTAGGTAGGGTAGGGGCAGGGGGAATTATATGCAGCGATATACCTGATCAGCTCATTTAGAAGAGAAAAGGCAAGACAATTGAGGAAGTATAAGCTTTTATTCGTATTCGTAATTCCAAGGTTGGCTCTTTATATTGCCTTCCGCGGACACACAACCCCGTTAGTAATGTCATCAAGCAAAAAATGATTAAAAAAAATCAAGCCTTCTTGCGCCGCTTCGCGCCGCCGCCATTGCCCTTACCTCCCTGAGAATCGTTAGTTTCGGACCCGCCATATTGCAAGCCATCATCCACCGTGTTGGCCGGGCTGGTGCTCTCGCTGTCTGGAAGTGCCTCGGTGCGATTGGACTCGTGGCTGATGGGAATTTGCGCATCCGCGCCGACTCCTGAGCTCATTGGGTTGGTTCCATAACCACTGCCGTCGAAACCGTTGTAGTATCCGGCCGTCGACTGCGGGTTGGCCCCGCTGAAGAGATCACCCTCTGCTGGGATTTGATCGAAATCAAACAGCTCGTTGGCATCCTTGATCACGCCGTCCTCAGGACCCGTCGTCGCCGTTGGGTCAGCCGATGTCGTGACCGGCACCGAGTGAGACGAGTCGCCGAAATCTAAGCTATGTTTATTATGTTCGAGGTCTCCAATGTCCGTGAAGTAGTCGTTGGTGAATATCTCATCAAGGTTTAGTGGGGGAGGGGGGACGCTGCCGTCAGTGCCAATGCCAGGGATGGTGCCCGTAGGGCTCAAGGGTTGAAGCAGGTTGGTCAGGTTCTGCACGGAACGGTCTTGCTCTGCTTGCATCTTCACCAGGTTATCGATCTCCGCGCGGGTGTTGGCCAGCCGGCCCGAGTAGTTGTGTGGCATCGGTGGTGGCGTCGGTGTCATCAGCGCGTTGTTCTGGGACACCGGGGGGCTGGTGCCGCTGGAATTGCTCTCGTTGGCCATCAGACGGAGCATATCTGCACGCTGATTGGGGGTGAGTGGCGAGTTTCCACCGGATGTTTCAAGCGATGACAGCACATTAGGGAAGTCGGCGAACGTCGTTGGCATGCCGTTGCGAGCATTGGAGTTTTGAATTACTGACATAATGTCACGTTGTGGGTACTGTTGATTTGCTGGCACCGGCGCCTCCTTCGGCCGCGGGCTCGTGTCAAACACCTCCTCGACATGGCCAGGCTGCGACGCACTCGGTTGCCGGCCATGGCCACGCGGTTGTGAGCGGTCATAGGCGGCGGCAGCAGGGGACAATGTTGTCGCACGGCTCTGCCGGTCAGCCCCCGGGGGGGCTTTCAGCAAGAGCGGTTGCTTCTTCATTGACCGTTGGCCACCAGGGCTGTTCAGATTGGACGCACCCAAGGTGCTCAGCGTATAATCGTCCCCCATGTCGACAACGTTGCCTTGGTCTTGAGAGATAGCTCCCGCGAACGAGTTCGCCAGATTCTGTGGTCCTTCCTGCCCCTGCAGACTGCGATTGTAGACAGTTGCTAGGAACGTGAGGATAGCATTGATGGAGTTCTCGTGCCGTGTATGCTGCTCCTGGAAGTTGGCCGCCTGCGCGTACAGTTGCTCGTGCTCGCGCCGTAGTTTGCTAATGGTGTTGGAAATGATCTGTTGTTGCTGCCGAATAGCTTGCAATTCTCGATACACGCCTGCCAGTTGGTCTTTAGGCATGACATTGTTCGTGATGAGAGACAATTGGCGGTTGCGCGCACGATCATCTCGAGCTCCAACGCCATCATCCCCATAGTCATCGTGGTCCTGATCCTCCGCTTCCTCGGTCTTCACACGCACATTCGCTTTTCCAGACTTGCTACCCTGACCCGCCGTGTTCTTGGGCTTCTGGATCAACCATAGCAGGTCAGGATGCCCGCGCTTGAAGTATGGGTTGGCGTATTCGCTCGGGCTCTTGTTCTTCCGCTCGCTGGCACGCATCGAGTTGTCCGACAGTCCGACTTTCTTGTGAAAGCCATACATGTTCAGCTGGCGAACGAAAGAGGCGTAGTTGTTGTGTTTAAAGAGCTCCGGAATGAGGGTCTTCGCAAACTCATCTTCGTCCATAACGATGAAAGAGTTTCCATCATCAGACCATCGGATAAGTTCAGTGTTCTTCGACTCGTCCAGAAAACTAGATTCAATTCAGTTAGTATTCCTTCATTCGCTACACGTCAGTGGGTAGACCTACCTGCTCAATTTTTGCACAAACGGAGGGATCTGCTTCCGCTTGGCCTGCGCCTCCCTCTTCGCAACCATCGCGCGCTTATAAAGGTCTTCCAGACTCTCCCCCCATCCCCCGTTTTCTCCAGTTCCAGTACTATGATCCGAAAACGGTGGTGTCTGTTCATATCCTCGACCGCGGTTTACCAGTTGAGTTGGGGTCTGACGACGCGCGAGCTGCCCCGGTGCAGTAGCAGTAACGTTGGCCGCAGGCACGTCCGGGCTGGACGTGTAGGCCGTGGCGCTGTAGGGGTTGGCATCAGGAAAGGAGGGGCTGGAGACGCTCGAGGAGCTCTGACCCCATTGCAGAAACTGATCGTTGGAGAGTTGGTTTCCGGGGTTCTGAGGGTAGCTGGAGAGTGGGCCCAGCTGAGGATGGACGATCGGGGATGTGCCAGGCGCAGGTCTCTTGCGGGTAATTCCTTGAGGACTCATCACAGGCGACAAAACCCACGGTCGGTAAAGAGCAAAGACGTTCTAAGGGGCGAGTAAAGTCGCGTATACGATGGCCTAGCGTCGTCCACTAGGAGGAAAGGAAGAATTACGGCGATTGGGCGAGAGGCGACAGAAGTACTTAGTCGGTCGGGTAAATGGCGGGGTGAGCGGAAGGCCTCAGTTGGCACAGGCAATCCCAAAATGAGGGGGGAAACTTGTCATCAACGTCGTGATTGTCAAATATGTCCAGGGCGATGTCGCTCGAGAAGGATGAAGAGCGCTCAGCAGCGGAGGAGAGCGTGGGACTTCAGGCGCAAGTGTCAATGGCGGAGACGCGACGGCGCCGCCGCAGACGCTAGACGTAGTAGCAAGAATCGAAACTTCAGGCGGGCGTCAGGCAAACCGCGAACACGGCAGTTCTATATTGGTCCGGAAAGATGCGTGTGTATGTGATGCAGTTGCTGTATCCGAATGACTTGAGCGAATCGAGGCTGGCGATGGAAATTCAACAGAGCCTATATAACACGGGAAGGCTCTGGGGCCGAAGGTGAGTTCAGAGGATCGACCGAGCCGGCGCAACAAAGGCAGGTACAAAGCGCAAAAGAAACAAAGCCTTCCACCACAGGGAGTGAAGAAGAATGGGCGCGACGGAGAACGGGATGAAGCGATGAAGTTGGATCTGAGGGGGTTCAGGACAGGCAACGGCGTCTGTCACCGCCAGCAAACTCGGGAACTCAAGATGCTTGGCGGGCGGTGATGATCTCAAACCTCGGCGGTGAGTCGTGATTGGCCAATGGGCTGAGTCAGCGTACGGCACGTGGGTGAGGGATGCTCAGTCACAATTCGCAGTTTTCCGTTGTTATTCAATCTAGTATCACTCCTGGGCGTCAAAGACTCGTTCTCTTTTACGGGCAGCAACCATCGTCAACGGCAACCATCGCGGCTGACCACGCTACTGTTATGACCTCTACTAAGTACTTGCTAGTGAGGTTGGCTTCCTTCGGGACGGCAAGCTCCCCACTGCCCCATTATCCAATCACCACCCGCTAATCTTTGCGGCCTCGACTTGGCCCATTCTTTCAAACGGCCTGTCCCAAAGCCTGATTTCCTTCCAGAGGTTTCACGATGCTTCTATCGATTTCTGACCCTTCAAATTTTTTCCCTAGTCAAACATCTAGGGGCTGGCTGAAGCCAGGCACAGATGTACAGGATGAAAGACAATCAGACGCTCAAACCATCAAGAGGATCAGCTATTCCACTGTCTGGTCACCAGTCAACTGCTGGAAGCGTTTCAGTATTCTCTGCCACAGGTCCGGCTGGTTCTCTGTAAACCGCTCGATCTTCTGCAGGGCAGCCAAGTCCGCCTCCATATGATGCCGCTTGGTCGTACCGTCCAACACCGTAGTGTATCCCAGTCCTAGAACAAGACAGTAAAGGGCTGCAGCTGGCGAGATGTCTGCCTCGTGGGCAAGCAGCTGAACGGCATCCGAGCGAATCAATTCAGGGTTTGCCGATAGCGTCCAAAAGCTCTGGTAGATGATCTGATTTTCCCGGCAAAAGGCCCTCAAGGGAACATCGTATTGCGTGTCGGCATAGAATCGGTTCTGAACCACAGCAGGCTTCACTTTCGCTTGGGCAAACAGCTCTTTCAGGATGGACAGAGTGGTATTGGATATACCCAGGTTACGGACCTGGTGAGGAACATAGCTTTCAACTGCTGACCAAGCCTCCAATGTCTGAGACATCGTCGGCAGCGGTGAGTGCAGGATGAGCATGTCAATGTATGCATCATTCACGCTATCTGCCGTGCTCGACGGCCGGAGATTATGCAGCGACGACTTGATAGACGCATGGACCTGATCGGTCACCGAGGCCTTGGGGTCATACGGCATATTATCTGGACTCTGGCCATTGACAGAAGTAAATTTGGTTTGGACCTGACATGAATTAGCAACAGGCAGACATGAAATGCATGGGAGAATTTCTAATTTTGGGTTTTTCCGTGGATTGACCACTTACATGAAGATCTTCTCGTCGGACATAGCCGTCCTGGAGGGCCCTGCGTATGCCTTCCCCGACCAAGTCCTCGCGATAATGCTTGGGTTGGGCAGCAGTGTCCACGGCGCGGAAACCAGCTCCGAGCGCCTGGTGTACCAAATCGGCGGTCTGATCTTTCTTCCAAGCGGTACCGTAGATTAGTGTGGGAATGATGGCAGGAGGTGCGTTTTGCACGGGGCGGAGGACATGACTCTCCCAGGAGAGTTTGCTCATTGCAGCGCGAGCCATATTGAGGTCGATCAATTCGATTAGTTGGAAGAAATGCAGGGTTGTAGCCGAGATGCCTTGTCATGATGCCCTGCGGATGAACGGATGCAGGAAGAAAGCAGCGGTTAACTCCGACCGGGTCATCCAAGGTGCGAGCACCTGACTTCATGATGACCTAACTCATAGTGACCATAACAGTAGTGGATATCGACAAGACTTTGCAAACATAGGTATTTGGATGTGTGTGATAGCGGTGGTCTGCAGCAAACAGTTGACTAGTGATAGCAGCTTTGCTCCGGTCCCTCACATCGGCACACAGGCAGCATCATTATCCGAGCTTTAAGTGGCAGATGCAGGTGTGATGTTTCAATAACCTGTGCAGGAACTAAATATAGCGGGGAGGCAGTGCATCCATCCGATGCCAAAACTTCACCCGCGGGTGGAGTAGGAATAGCTTGTACTGTGTACCTGGGCTTTTCCCGATTGTGAGCATTGGGCCACTTCATTCGAGACAAATTCCCATGCAGTGTCATGCCAGCTGATGGATAACTCTCGCAGACTTTGTTCATCGTTGGTTCCAGAAGAGCCCCAACTAACAGTGTCACAGATGACATCATACCTTTATCCCATACTTGACTGCAGTAGAAACCTCCCTTGACTCTATGCCAAAACAGCACTGCACCAGCAGCACTCAACATTCCATGTAACCCCGGGAATCAACCCGATCAATCAATCAATCAACCCACTCCACAAAATACTTACTATTGAACTATCGAGACCCACACCCCAGGGACTCCAACTGCAACGGCACGTCGGGCTACCCCACCGTGGCGGTGCCCTGACACTATCAAACTATACAGCCATTCACAACAATAAATCCAGACTAACTTCCAGGCAACTTCGTTCTCATCTCCGAGATTGGTGTTATCAGAGATGATCAGGGTCCTGCCGCAGCTTGGCACGACCCGAATTGCATGTAGCCGAGCTACTGTTCCTTACTTCCACCTCTCTCTCGTGCCGAATCAGGCAAGCTGAAGACCTCTCACGAATGTAGGGAGGACAGTTGTTTCCGATATTGCATTGAGGAGTAGTTGCGCATATGATCTTTCTCCTAGCAGCATGTCACCTACCCCGACTAGTAGTACAGAAAAACAAATATAGAAACAATGTAGGTAGTGGTATACAGAATAACAAGGTATAAATAAGAAGCAATATCCTGTCCAGCATCAATCTATCATCATCATCATCATCATCAACTTCAATTCCATTGAGAACATTTCAAAATCATAGCTCAATTACTATCGCAAGAACAACAACACAAACAGCAGCAAAAGCAAAAACATCAAAAATGCACTTCCATCTCATCCCAGCTCTCCTCGCCATCACCACCAACCTCCTCCTCACTCCCCTCGTCCGCGCCGACAACGACCTCGACTCCGACGATGTCCCCGACCGGTGCTGGTCTGTCTGTGGTCCCGTCGTAGGTATAACCCAAGGCTGCGACCACAAATACGACGACAACGACCGCGCCGAGCTCAACTGCATCTGCAACTGGGTCGAGGCACCTACTCTTCTGCCGTTGTGCGAGGCCTGTATTGCCAATTACCGCAGTGAGCATGATCACGATGATGACCATGATGCGCATGATAATGGTGCGTTTCCTCCCTCCCTCCCAGAAAGAGTTTTGTTATACTAACTATAACAGACGCCTACGACATCCTAACCTCCTGCTCCCTATCAACGACAACCTGGAACGCGGCGGCTGCTACTTCTGCTCTTCAGTCTGTGAACAGCACCAGTGCTACTGCTACTGCTACGGGTTCTGGTGCTGGGGCTAGTGGTACCGGTTCTGTGTCTTCGACCGGTGGTTCTGCTGCTGCTGCCGCTGCTACTGGTGATGTTAATGCCGCCGTGGGGGTGAGCGTTCCGGGGCTTTCGTCTGTGGCGGTGATGTTGGCTATGGGGATGGGGTATTTGGGTGTGGTTTGAAATATAGGAATTGGTGACTGAGGAGATGAATGGATGGTCATGGTCATGAATCACGAGTTTATAGTATATCGATGAGGTGATCGGTGGTTTTTGTATACCCGCTGGGTTATTCGACATTATATTGAGGGTTAATGTTCGGAATAACTGGTTTTGGAGGATGTAGTGTGGGTATTATATATGATGGTTATACTTAGGACGTTCATTACACTAGGAATATGATATATGATTTTGTTCTTCAGTTTTGAATGAGTTGTAGTGTTATTGAGAGATACGGCTATCTACAGTGAGCGTTTTTCGGATATTTATTATATTAATACCATAGTAATTGCCATTTCTATATTTGGTTTTCGGTGCTACGTATAATGGTCTACATAGAAAGATGAACCGAGCAAATAACTTATAGTAGAAGCTGGAGCACCTCACTAAGAGAGCCAATCATCTATCCTGATATACTGATGAAATCTACCCCAAGCTAAATGACACACCTCATCTATACACCACAGCTGCTGGCTACTATTTGTTTTGGTCAATAACAATAGAGAAGCAGCCCCCTCTTCTAAGGAGTAATGATTTAGTTATACCAACTATTATGCGAAAACATGGCAAGGTTTACTCTTTCAGAACGGTTCAAACCGACAATATTGTGCATACAACAATGGGCATCAACCATAGACAATGATTTAATGTTGAAACATGTTTTGAAATATAATAGTGGTATTTCGGGAGACGTGCCTGCTGATGACTGCAAACAAAGTCCAATCAGTAGTAAAGATACATTTTCTTCATTATAAAGTCAGCTTCGGGAGAACACTTTCAATTAGTCCATTTAAAATCCGAACTATGCTTTCCAATCAGATGAATGTCTATGGATGCTAAGTTCCTGAGTTACTGGTATTGTGGCCTTGAGCTGGGACCAGGATCTGAGACATGGCGAGGCTCCTTGTTCATATATATATAGACGTCTGTTATAGCTGCCGGCATTCAAAACATTGTGCGAGATGTCACCGACCTCATTCCGCATAAGATAGTATGAAATATACCATGCCATAAAGTGTTCAAAATGAGCAATCTTGTACCTCTTGGCCAAAGAAGACCTCGCAGTTCTCATTAGCGCGCATACTGCTGAAGAATGAGACCTCCAGAATTGAAATAGTTTCACCCTCAAATAAGTCATACGCAGGAAAATCAAAGGAACTCCAGCTATGTACTTTCATCTCCTGTATCTGTGGCATTTTAGAAGTACTGCTTGGCAAAATAGCAGCAACAGGATAATAAAAACATAATGATGCTGGACCCCAAACCCGAAGAACGAATAATAGCCGGCAACAAAAACATACATCCTGACACACAGGATCATAAATATCAAAGAGACGAGTAGCGCGATGACACAGCTCTCTTTAAACCTTATTGTCTGCCACTGACCATCATAAACTGTACTCATTGACCAGCAACACTCCGAACATAAAGTACATTTTCCATATCCCCGAAATAGACGCTCTCGCACTAGCCCATATCACAAAGCGAAGGTCCTTTTATTCTGAATTGATAAAGGTACACTGCATGAACAGAGTTTGAAAAGATGCGGCTCAGAGCATATATCGAAGTCAATTGGAGAAATAGGGACATATGAAGAGACCGGAAAGTGCAAACAGGGAGCGAAGTAACTGCGTGGCAAGAAAAATCACCCGTAAAGCAGGGACAGAGCTAAATATCATTGACAAGGTTTGTGCATACGGACCGTCTAGAATCTTTCACCGCACCGTTGTGATATATTATATAGCACTTCACAGGGTGTTCTAGGAACCACCTATCAAACAGGTTCCCTATAAAAGCACTCATTTCGACTGTACAGTCTTATGATGTGCATTGGGCGCCTCAAGTCTGAATAAGTGGTATGTTATCTCTGTGTTAGCACAACTATTCATATGCACTGCTTGGGCGAACGACCACTTTATTTGAGAATATGTTGGTGCTGTTAGTCGGCACGGTATCAACAATGCTTAACCACAATGACTTTTTACACGCAAGAATAATTAGTGAAAAGAATAGTGAGTTGTATATCTTTATGCTTTGAGCTCGCTTGGATAGAGTCGAGCAGTAAATTCTTGCTCCATTTTACTACCGAGTCCGAAGACCATAATGCGTTCAGAAGTTAGACAGAAGCACAGTGGCGTTATGCGATAAACACCAAACACTACTTGATTTGATTCGTACATCGGTATCTATTTTTTACTATACTATATTGTACTACCTACTTACTACCAATACAGCATGATTGCAATCATCATCACGTCACACAGTACTCCAGTACCTGAAGAACCTGTCATGGCCAGTAGCCGCCACCATTCAAAACAAAACGTGCATCACACCCTCATGCCCATCTCCTTGCTTAAAATCGAAATTGCTTTATACTCCTATCAAAGACACGGTCTACGCTCAGATAAGCCCACTAACTACCACCACCTTCCCATCAAACATCCATCTCCGACTCGAATGTCCAACAAGGAGCGAGCACGCCAGCCACACTCCAAAAGCCACCTAATCTCCATAGTCCGTATAAGCCACACATCACAGCCACATAGTACCCCCAAAAGTAATCCAGTCATTAGAGGCAACAAAGCACACGCATTCTGCCTAAAGCCCACACCCGCACTTGCACTACCAACCGGTGAGGATTACCTTATCCTGGAAATAAATGCCACGAATACTACTTACTACTCACAGCCACACACCTGCAGTTAAGTACTCACTCAGCCATCCACAACACTCCTGTGTCTCTCAAACTGCTGACAGAGTATGTCCCAAGTTTAAGCAGCATTCCAACACACATGATTTTAAATTAATCGATTAGGTAAAAGAGTACTTAAGCGAAGCGATATTAACCACCACCAAAATCTAACATTCCATTCATTCCTTCATTAAAATCTCATCGAATGGATGAAAAAGTTGGAATAAAAAAAATAAAAATATTTAACAACCCACCAATCCATTGATTAGTAGGTTTTAGTTAGCACTTAGTTTCCTGCAACATGCAGAGAATCTGCAACCTGGGCGAATACCGTAGGAGAACTCGGGCAGTGCAGACAGGGCAAGGAAGGGAAGGGAAGGGAAATTCTGATAATTCGGAGTTGAACCCTTGCATGAGATTTGCTGCACAGATGGATGGTTGAGTTAGCCAAGGGGAAGATTTCTTCATTTTCCAGTATGCTGTAATGGAATATTTCCTAAGTACTCAGTTCTGGATTTCCTCGCTATTCTACTATGGTACTTGTTTAACTGGTTGATAGGGATTGTTATCCACTAATGTTCACTATTTCTACTCTTCAGGTAGAGTTCCCTAATCCAAAACAATTATCCCTCTATCAGGTGGCTAAGGTTAAGTGAGACGAAGTATCAGTTTCACTTGTTTCATTTTCCGAACTCTCGCTTCGATTCCTGTGGCAACAACCAGATGGATCAGGTGGCTTACATGGCGGCGCGGCGCTTGCATTGCATTAGGCCCCGGTTGCCGGTGCCTAGGATGAAATAGATCAACTTAGACTAGACTAGACTAGACTCTGTACTTAAAACGCCTCCTTCGTTCTGCTCAGGTCCATAAAAAATAGAAAAGAGAAAAAAGGCAATGTCGGATGTTCGGGAATAGATTCAGAACACTAAGTAGTAGGAGAGATTTTTTTTTTTTTATTTCGAAAGATTGGGTAGGCAATGTTCATTGTAATGCTAGTATAATT